AACCACGCTGAGGCGGCGTCCCACATGCCACAACTAGAAGGACCCACAACGAAGAATATACAGCTGTGTACCGGGGGGGCTTTGGGGAGAAAAAGGAAAAAAAAATAAAATCTTTAAAAAAAAAACATATGCCTGTTGTAGGCCACTGAGTTTTGGGGAAGTTCATTACAGAGCATTATTGTGGCAATGGCTGACTAATACAAAGACCAAAATGCAGAAATAGAGAGTAAAAGGGTAAGTGAAGTAGATGGCTTATGTATGAGGAAGGAAGGAAGCGATGGTGGGGTCTGAGCAGAGAGCAAGCAGAGAAGGGCCTCCAAAAAGAAGAACGAGGTGGAGATGAGAGGAAAGGAATATTGCAGCTCCAGCTCCATCAGATGCTGGGGTGGGCAGTGGGGCAGGAGCAACACACACACACACACATACACACGCACACACCCATCCTCTGTGCCTTTGGTGAGCACCGGGCCTTTCTGGTGTCTGTTCAATGTTGCCATTGTCTGGGAGGTTTCCAGAGAGTAGAACTTTGATTCCCAGGTGGGTCTAGACTTCCTATTTTGGGATCTACCTGGGTTCAGGGTCACAATATGTCAATGGAGCAATAATAGAAAGGTGGGGCATGTGGGAGCTACGGACAGAGCTCTGCTGAATGGGTATTGGACCCCCTGGCTGGGATGCTCCCTAACTGGAAGCAGCCATTAGCACAGGGAACCAGCCCTGCTGAGTGCAGATGCCTGGTGTGAGCTGGGCTCCAAGGTCTTGTGACCTTGGGGAAGTTACTTGACCTCTCCAGACTGAGATTTGGAGATAATGGAAATAGTAACAGTACCTGCCCCCTAGGATTGTCATGAGGAGTGAGTGACAGTGAGCATCTGACACAATGCCTGGCACAAAGTCCCCCATAAATTAATATTAATAACTGTGCTGCCATTTCGTAAGAAGAACTGATATCTGGTGTGCAGTAAGAAGTGGACATATCTGAGCCTAAATATTTCATAAAGGCAGGAGTCCCACCAAATGCATTGTGACACCTGACCGAGCCCTGAACTCTCACTAGCAATGCCCTGAACAGAAAGCAGTCCTCCCATCTTTGTTACCTGCTCCCTCAGCCCGCGTCAGCCCATCTGCTGGCTTTTGTTTTCCCTTTTTCCTAGAGAAGTCTTTCCTTCTAGGGGAAAAATGGTGGAAGTGGACCTGAAGGAGCAGATGGTGGAGCTCAGTAGACGCTCCATCTTATCACCAGCTTGGCTGTGGGCAGTACTATTTTCCAGTTGGCTCTTCCACCACGAGCTAGATGACCCCTTGTCACATCTATACTTTGTCAGATGGATCAGATGACCTTTGTCACACTTCAGCTGGGGTATTTTTAGCCAGACTGGTATCTGAACACTCCTTCGCATTTGTTTTTCTGATGCACTCTATGCGTTTGCTCTCGTTCTGTCTTGCACGCTCCTTTTCCGGGGGAGAATTTCCCAGCTCAGTGGGCTCCCTGCCCAGCCATTTTTACATTTTTCTTAGAGTGTGTGGAGAGGAGCCCAACTGCTCCAGGAGCCCAACTGCTTCCCAAAGCCAGTCCTTCCGGGGGCTCTTTGTCCCTGGGCCTGGTTCAACCCCTGCGTGGGGACGCCAGGGGATTTAGCAGCCCTCTTCCCAGAGCACCGTGACGGGGAAAGGGGGGGACCTGCCCCCTGCCCCAGTGTGGCTTGACGAGTGGTGTCTAAGTCCGTCCGGGGGATCCGAACCTGTGAACCCCCGGCCGCTGAAGAGGAGCGCAGGAGCTTACCCACTACACCCCAGCCGGCCCCTTACCCGCCTTTGAATCCCTGTCCGACACGGCGCCTGGCATATGGGTGCTCCGTAACTTTCCTGACTGAACTGATAGAGAGGCCCTTTGAAGATTTGGGCGCTGGTGGTGCTAGCGGGTTCTGAGGTTTTCGGAGGCGACTGTGAGTCAGTAATCCACTCAACACCCACTTTTCCAGCCCCTTCTTTTGGATGAGAGTCTGGGATGCCTCCGCGTGAAGGCAGCGGGAGAGACGCTGCGGGCGCGTTTTATTTCTCATGTCCTGGTTTACACTGCCCTCTGCTGTCTACTTATGGGACAAGCATGTTACAGGAGGGTTTGTGGTGACTTTCTCTTGACATTGGGGAAGAGAGGCTCCCCTATATGGGCTGTTTGCGATGCTGTTGAGGGGGAGGTAGGGTTTAAGATCCCCCAGAATTTAGCCTGCAACTCCTGAGGTTTACCAAACACAAGAGGCTTTTTACCAGTGTCCCTGACGCTCGGCCATCAACTAATGCCATCCTTCTAGGCTGGCGTTTCCATGGCAGGCGCTTTGTGTTCCAGCAAGACGCAAAAGGAACAGGGGTAGGGTTTATTTGCTATCACTCCCCCTCTGCTGTCTGGTTTCCTCTAATCCCTGGGCATCTAATTCTTACAGCTGCCTCAGCTGCTTTCAAGGGTCTGGGGTCACAGCAGGCCAAGCAGGAACCAGAACCCACCCTCCCCTCCAGTGCCTGCAACAGCCAGCCCTGTACTCCTTCTCAGAGCTGAGCTCCCGGGTCCGTGAACTCGGGGTGGGGCTCTGCGGGGGGGACGCGGTGGGGGGGACGGACGACGGGGCTAAAGTCCAGCCCACCTTCGTTTTACCTGGCCATGGAACCTGCTAGAAGCGTCTGCCTTTTACGGTTAGGTTGAATCTTGAAATTGCCAATTTGCAACCATCAGTGATCTACAAAAACAGCAATTTCATAGGGTTCAATGTAATCCTTAGGGAGTAAACTCTATATGTGCTAGTGGTGGCCCTGGCGTCCCATATTCCCTAGGCTCATTCAGACCCAGGCTCAGGGCACAGCAGGATCTCGGCCTCTAGAGCTGCAAGGACGGCCCTAAAGCCCGGGAGAAGGTCGAGTTGGCCTCAGGGGCCTGGGACCAGGCCCACTCCCCGCTTCAGGCCCCCGTGTTCCTGCATGCGTTCTGCGGTGACACCCAGGCTTGGTTTGGGGGGCGCAGCCAGGGGAGGAGACGCCAGCTCGAGAACTCTAGACAAGCCCTTCTTCCCGGTGACGGTACTCACCCTCCTGGCTATACCGGCAGGGTTTTCTGGGAGCTTCAGGAGGCCTCAGGCTTCTGGACACACCCAGCACCCACGACCCTCACCTCTGCTGCCGAACCTGGGCGGCCGGGGCTGCTGCGCTCAGGAAGCTTCCAGAGCCAGTCCTGGGCACCTGAGGGCTGCGCCAGAGCTCCCCCGCCTGGCGAACCCCTCGGGGGCTCCCGTGCCCTCCAAACCCTGGCACAGTGCCCGAGCAGGCCCAGGGCAGGAGGCATCAACAACTTGCCCAAGGGATGAAGGCAAAGTGGCCCGGGAGGTTTTAATGCTGCTGAGTTACGGAAGGCTTATGAGTAGCAGTTCGCAGGACTCATGTAGGATGAGAGAGAGTTTCGGCTCTGTTCACCCACCTGCCCTACAGTCCAGTCTCGCGGCCATCACATAGGTCTTGATGTCTCAGAATGTGGTGGTGCAGGTTAGAGACCTGGTCTCTTTCCTCCCGAGAGGATGCAAACAGTAGAGGGAGGGACTCACTCAGGCCATTTTAATCATCCATCCATCCATGTATTAATTCATTAAACAAATGGTTAATGAGCACCTCTGTGTGCCAGGCTCTGTGCTGGGTGTACAGCAGTGAACAGACAAAATCTCTGCCCTCCGTGCATTGTAGCATCTTGGGTAAGCCAATAATAACTATGCTGTTGCCCAGCTAACATTTCTATTACAAAGCTCTTACCTCTTCTACCATGGGATAATGAAACAGATAAAACGTGTTTTTTAAAAACTTTAATAAGAAGAAATTAGGATATGTTAAACTTTTTTAAAAAAGCATGATAGAAAATTGTATATGTAGTTCAGTTTCCACTTATGTTAACATATACGTGTGTAGAAAAAGGACAGGTTGGAAATAGCCCTAAATGTTAGTATTGGTGTGGCAGATTGTTTTTTTCTAAGATGACCACAAGATTCCCCCATCCCCTAGGCTCTTCATACAATGTGACCTTGATTCTCCCATTGAGAGGTGTGGTCAGGGTTCCCTCTCCTGGTATCTCTGACTATGGAGGCAATACAGCTCCTCTCTGGTCCTCCCGGGATGCTCTTATTTGGAACCCAGATGCCATGCTGTGAGGAAGCACATGGAAAAGTCATATTTAGGTGATTTGGCCAAAGCCCCAGCTGAGGTCCCCGCTGAGGTCCCAGCTGATGCCCAACACAAGTCACCAGACATATGAGGGAGGAAACTCCAGCCACCATCTGACTGCAACCCCAGTCATGAAGGGCCTAGCTTAGCCTAGCCAACCCCCACAATTGGGAGATAATAATGATTGTTGCTGTTTAAAGCAACAGAGTTTGGGGCGATTTGTTATACAGCAACAGATATCCAGAAAAAATGGTTTATCTGGATTGTGGGATTATGAGTGTTAATAATACTTCTCTATATTTCCAAAAATTTCTACAGTGACCACTTATTTCTTCCATAATCAGTAAAAGTTTATTAAAAATAAAAACAGTCATCTTTTTCCCTTCACCAAGGGAGAAATTAGGTCTGAATTTGAAGTGAGGGATTTAAACTAGACTTGGAGAAAAGCTTTCCATGCAAGATTGATTAGATGCTGGAAATTTATCTTATTAGTAAGATAAATTCAAGTTGGTGTGATGGAAAGAGTGGTAGATTTGGAGTGAGGAAACTTGGAAATAATTCTAGGTTTTCTGGGTGACCTTGAACAAACTCTTGCTCAAATTCAGCTTTCTATTTTGAAAAATGCAGCTGGCTGCTTAAATAAGATAACATCCATCAGGGTGCCTGGCCCAGAAAAGGCACTCTGTAATTGGTAGGTGATCCTGTCTAATCAGTGCCAATTATAAGCAGGCATCTGCAAGCCTTGTGGAGGGCTCATCCTTCACTGCCACCAGAGGCTACAGTTCCCATAAAGAAAATTGCCTGGAGAAGAACCACAACTCTTTAAAAAAAAATCCAGAAACATGAAGCAGTTTTTCCAGCGGTCCTTGCCCACAACGCCCCGCCATGGCTGGAGCCTCTAGTTCTGCCCCTTCAGAAGACTCCATCAGGTGCGGAGGGCCAGAGAGCCCCAGGATGCAGAGGGAGGAGGACCGCGAAGGGCGGCCTGGCGGGAAGCAGCGGCCGCGCGTTGCTGGGGCTGGTGTCCCGGCAACCCCGGAACGCGCCTCCGCGGGAGGAGCAGGCGGCGGCGCCGTCCCTCTCGTCCTTGGATCTCGGTTCCTCCGGCCGGTATTCGGCAGTTTGGGGGCCGGTTGGTGCGTTGACCTCCGCTGCGTCCTCCTTGGAGGCCTCCGAGTGTAGAGCCTGGGGGAAGGGGTGGGAACAACCAGAGGTGGGAGGGAAGCAGCACCTTGGATGGGCCGCGCAGTGAGCACTGCTCGGGCTGCGGGCCGAGACCCACGCGAGCTCTGGGGGCCTCCAAACCAAGAAACGCCCGGATAGGGAGAGGGAGGGAATCTCTGAGGTCAACCCAGCCCTCTTGACTTCCAATGGCTTGTGGAGTGTCTATTTGCTTTGTTTGAAGCCTTTCTTACAAAGATCTTTTCTTTGTCTCCCGTTGCTTTTAGTATTTAAAATCAACACGTGATTAGATGAGTCCATGTACACGGGGAACGGTCCACGGGGCTGCCGTGTCCCCTCCATCTCAAGAGTGACCTGCTGCACAGAGCTGGAGAAGGCTCCAGAGAAGGGAGACTCTGGCATGACCATGGCGGAGAGGAGATACAGTTGAGTTCAAGAAATCAGGAGGACTGGCTGTGGGTCTGGTCCCAATATCCAAGTATACTAGAGCCAGGAGGCACCACTTGAAGTTTAAAGGGAGGCTTGTTTGGGGGCATATAAAAAGAACTGCTTGAATAGTAGCTTACGTCTATATTATGTATTATATACATAATACAGCTTATGTCTGTATTAACTTCAAGTCTGATAAAGCAGATTGCAGCATCAGATCAGAGATTCTCATAAAATACCTCCCTGGATCTCATACCAGCCCGAGAGATTTATTACATATGAGCAGAGGGAGCCAGAGGTTTGATCTGCCCAGCGCTTCAGGAGATAAATGGTGAAGCTGGGATTTGACCCCAGTCTTCGGGTCTCCACAGCCCGTGCCTGCCCTTTATTTTTTTCTTTGCTTCTGTATTGGTAGATTTGTGGTACTGTTTATTGGCTGGGACAACTCAGGTGGAAATTGTGAACGCTTTAAGGAAAGGTTTAAATTATCTAATGGATGGTAGCTCCATAACTGGTCCTTAAGGCTGAGGAGGATGTTTAGGGACACATTTGCCTTTAGAGAACAGTGTCATGGAGCAGAACAGCCACAGTCTCTCAGAAAACCTCGGAGTGCGTATATGCCCAGGTTGACATCTGCCTGTTATTGATGAGTGGCCTACATGCTGCGAAAAAAGATTGTAGAATATTGCGTCTGTGCCCCATGAGATCTTAGCTTGGCCCCTGGTCTTCCGTATTCCGGGTCTGCGATCTCCTCGTTCTCCTTCACAAGTGCAGGGAGAGGAGGGAGGTATGACTTCCCACACCTGCCTACAAGCCGGGGCCAGTTTAGTAGTATTAATTGCCCAACATGGCTAGGTCAGCAAGGAGAAAAAGGTTCTGGGATGCTAACTTTAAGCCCCAGACCTTTCCGCAGTTTCTAGGTTGATCTGGGATAGAGGAGGGAGCTGCTGTTTTAAGGGTGGGGTAGAGGGGCTTTATGTGTCTAAGTTAGGGATACTGGAAGAGCCTCAGCCCCTGAGACACACCTCCCCCCCCCACCCCAGACCAGATATACTGAAGATCCATGGCTTCCTTTTCAGCTCTGTAGGTGTGTCCACTCACGAGACCACATCTGAGCTCAGCTTGACATGGAGTCCATGGCTATTCAGGAAGGAAGGGGCTCCACGAGCCCGTTGAAGATGTATGCACCTGTGGGTGTTTGTGCACCCACAAGGAGGGCTCATTGCTTTCATCACTTCTCATGGGAGTCTGTGATCCAAAGAAGGGTTAAACACCACCATCCTACATCCTTTGTTTGTTGAGCAGAGAAGCAGGGGTGGGAAACTGAGTGTTTGGTTGAAGAGTATCCACATTAAGCTAAGTTGGCTCCATGTGTTATTCTCGCCCTGCCAGACAGTGCTGCTGTCTAAACCAGCTCAGAGGACAAGTGTGTGAAAGTGCCTTGGTTATGTAAGGTGTTATTCCTGCCTAGAGAAATGGAAATAATTATCGTGACTTCCACAGATGGTACCAAGGAAACAGACTTTCTTCTAAACTCTCCTTTTCTCCCTGAATTCCTTTCTAGTCACCAGGATTTTCTCTTTGTCCTTTTGGTTGGATCGTCTTTTCTTATCGCATAGTTTTAGCAACTTGTTAGAATTTTCTGTCTTATAGCTTACTGGACATTTATTGCATTCGAATAACAATTATCATGGTAGATGGTGACTCAAGAAGGAGGTAGCTTAGCTGATTTGCTCCTCACCACAGCCTTGTGAGCTAGAGAGAGAGGTGGGGCGGGTGGCGGGAGCTGGGCGTGGAGAGGTAATTGACTTGCTTAAAGTAACTTGATGTTACTCTACACAACGGCAATTCTAGGACGGACATTTTTCATGGTTTGCATCTCTGAAGTTGGGTTGGTCTTACCAGGGCTGTGGGCCCAGCAGCAGATGTGAAGCAGTTGTCACAAACTTTGCTGTATGAGCGCTTAATAATGCGGAACATGCGTCTGTGGCTTGGAAGAAAATTCCAGAAGCAATAGAGGAGAGCTCATTTAAGAAATGCTACATCACCTGTGTTCTTGTTGCACTGAGGTCAGTTTAGGTGGAAAGCGTGGACATCAGTGATTGAGTTGAAAAGTGATTCAGTAACGGACTTTTGAATATGAATAAGGTTTAAGAATGCCCTAACGAATTTGTTTCTTATATTTTTCTTCTTTGTATATGCACATAAGTGATATGTGATTAAAATCTGTAGTAAGTCTAAAAGAGTGCTTCAGTAGGTATAAGATAAAAATTCTAAGTGATAAGGCATTGTGTCATAGTTTAACTGGCAGCCTTTGTTCTTTGTGGCACATCAAATAATAATGTTATTACAATTGATGGTGTCTTACATTTGGTGAAATACAGCCTGTGCTTTTAAGGCTTTAGCTTCTAATTACTGCTTTAGTTGCCTCCAACAAGTTTCGATATATAGTACTAATATCAATGACCATTAAGCACCTCATGCTTTCCATTATGGTTTCTTCTTTTATATGAAATATTTAGAAGTGTGGTTTGAGTTTTCAAGCTCTTGTAGATGTTTTTTGGCTGTCTTCTTCTTATTGATTTCTAGCTGTAGGGCATTGTGGTCAGAGTGTGGTCTATGTTATTTTTGTGATACTACTTTTGTGGCTCAGGATATGTGGTTACTCCTTTGGCTCCTGGGGACCTGTGCTCTCCTCCTCACGGCTCTGCCCCTTTCTCGCCCCCTCCACTGGGCTCTACTCCATCCCAACTACTCACACCTCCAGCAATCCGTTAACCCTCACTGCACCTGGGGCTGCTCTAGGCTCTGTGGCATGCTCTAGAATAGCTCTTCCCACGCTTGACTGGCTCTGAGAATCACCTGGGAGGCTTCCCTGTAGGTCTGGGTCAGAGCGCTGGAATCTGCATGTTGAACAAGTGCCTCAAGATGCCTCTCATGACGGGGCAAATGCAGGGAATTCTGTGCAGTTTGGAATGAGGAAGCAGGATGGGGTAGACTGCAGTGCAGGGATGGAGCTGGACTTGAAGAGGAGGAAAATCACAGCCAGATGTGAGCCTCAGTGCAACGAGGGGAGGGAAACATTGAAATGTGGGTCCCCAGGCCTCACTTAGAGAGGTTCTAATTCCATAGGTCTGTAATGGGATTTGGGAATCTATATTTTTAACAGGTGTCTCAGATAGTTCTGATGCAGACAGGCCTTAGGCCATACCCTGAGAAGCCCCAGAATGGGGAGACCGTGAGGGGGAAGTAGCTGTGCTGGCCTTCCAACTTTGTAGAGTCCCAGGCAAAGTCGTCAAGAGTAAAGAGTTGGGTGATAGGATTGGGACTTGACAAGAGAGAAAAGGATATGGTTCACTTGCTGTGTGAATTTGAGAGGGAGTTGATAAGAAATAAATAAAAAATTGTCTAAGGAGCAGTCTCGCTGAAGGATGGTGGGAATTTGCAGATTGCACGTGATATAAACCGTGTCCAGGCGAAGCACGATGCTGCAGAGGTGGAGCAGTGGGCAGCCCACAATTGTACTCAAGAGTCAGAGTCTGAGCGACTCTTGTGTCTTATAATTTTCTTATAACCAAAGGTTACATTGTGTCTGTTGAGCATCTAAGCTCTATGAAGTTGTGTGTAAGGAAATGTGATATCCATCCATCTGACATTTTTTTAAGTGACTGGACAAGGCACACACTGTGTAAAATGATGAGAAGGCAGATCGACTTTCATGAAGCAGTAACTATATAGCAGAGTGAAGAGAGCGGGCGCTTCTCTGACAGTCACTGGCTTCCAGGACTCCCTTCCTTGTCATTGTGGGTGGTCGGGGAGTTATAATTCTTTTTCATTTATTAACTCAAACATCTATTTTGTGGCAGGCACTGTTCTGAGTGTTACTAAGGTGAATGAGACCTAGTCTGTGGGGAAGATGTGTATATGAATGAATGACGGCACTGCAGTGGGAGGGGAACCCATAGCAATTTCTGAACCAAAGACAGTCCTTGGCTTACAATCACCAGCGGTATTCATTAGTCTTTCTATGAAGACATCCTTTGGAAAATTGTGTTGAGATGCTCAATACAACATACAGTGATATAAAGCTCGATTCAGATTCTCTCTTACGCTTAGTTCAGACTAGGCAGACTACAGGCAGAGGCAAGCAGTCTAGCATAGTGGTTAGGGTTTTAGATTTTAGTGTTACAAGAACTGTGATCAAATCTGGACTGAGATGGTTATTTTCTATGTGATCTTAGGCAAGTTGCTTAACCTTCTGAGCCTCAGTTTCCTTATCTGTAAAATGGAAGGATAAGTAATACCTACGTCTGTAGGTTGTTAGGAGAATTAAATGGGATAATGTGTATAAGATGTAAACACAATCCCTAGTGGGCAGTAAATGGTCAAACAAGTGTTAGCTGTTTTTTTAAAAAAATAAATTATTTATGATCTAGGGAACAAGATAGAATGGAAGGTATTTTTTATTGATGTAATCAAATGGTGATACCTGTGTGTTGCAGGTACTAAACACAATGATTTTCTGGGATCTAACGGATGCTTTGCCAACACACCATCCTCTGGCAGAAGCGTCAGCCCCTCGTCTTCTGTTGAAACAGGTCTGGGTGTCAGTGAGCCCCCAGGCCCCTGCAGAGTGTCTGTTCACCTAGAGTAAGTAAGGGTCCAGTGGAGGGCCTTAAACATTGGGGTAAATTCTGACCAGGGAGCCAACAGTCTGAGAGGTGGAATGACGTGTGTGTCAAGAGCATGGATCCAATCGAAGAGCTGGTTCAAATCCCAGCTCTGCCACTTAGTATCTGTGTGAACTTGGGCAAATTACTTTACCTCCCTGGGCCTCAGTTTTCTTATCTGCAAAATGGGGATAATATTTCAGAGGATTGTTGTGAGGCTTAAATGAGTTAATAAATGTAAAGTGATTAGAAGAGTCCCTGGCATACCCTAAGTGCTGTGCAAGTGCTTGCTATTGTGGAGTTCAAAAGCAAGTGAAACTAAACTATATTTTTTGGAATACATACATACGTATGTATGTAGGAGGTCTTAAAGAAAAGCAAAGAAATGATTACCATGAGAGTCAGAGTCAGGACAGCTGTTACCTCTCCAGGAAAGGGAGACACAGATGGTTTCTGGGGAGTGGGAGGGGAGGGCTGGCCATGTTTTGTTTCTTTTCTTTTATTTCAAAATTTTTTGTGTTTTCATTTTATTTTTTAGAATCTCTTTCTTCTTTTTTTTTTTTTTGCTGAGAAAGGTTCGCCCTGAGCTAACATCTGTTGCCAATCCTCCTCTTTTTTTGGTTGAGCAAGATTAGCCCTGAGCCAACATCTGTGCCAGTCTTCCTCTATTTCGTATGTGGGTTGCTGCCACAGTGTGGCTGATGAGTGGAGTAGGTCTGCACCAAACCTGCAAATCCGGGTCCCCAAAGCAGAGCACGCCTAACCCAACCACTACACCATGGGGCCGGCCCCCATGTTTTATTTCTTGACCTAGATGCTGGCTTTATAATTATTTGTAAAACTGTATTTATTTTTCATATACTTTTCTCTGTTTATATTTCTTTTACAGTAAAAAGTTTTCAAAACCTTTTTCTGGGGCTGGCCCAGTGGTGCAGCGGTTAAGTGTGCACATTCCTCTTCGGCGGCCTGGGGTTCACCAGTTCGGATCCCCAGGTGTGGACATGGCACCGCTTGGCAAGCCATGCTGTGGCAGGCGTCCCACATATGAAGTAGAGGAAGATGGACATGGATGTTAGCTCAGGGCCAGTCTTCCACAGCAAAAAGAGGAGGATTGGTAGCAGTTAGCTCAAGGCTAATCTTCCTCAAAAAACAAAAACAAAAACCTTTTTCTAACAATTTGTGTCATAATGAAAGTAATCTAAGTTCATCGTAGAAATTTGCAAACAGTATTAAAGATAAAAATCACAATAATCCACCTCTTAGAGAATCAGTGTTACCATTTAGATGTTACTTTTTTATATGCATAAGAAAAAATCTATTTCTTTCTTATTCATATAAATATATATTTATTTTACACAATTAAGATCATATTGTACTTCTTTTTTATAAAACCTGCTTTTTCCCCACTTCACATTTGCCCACTCTTCCACAGCCACCTGTTTGTCTGTCACGTCCTCTCCCCGTCGGCCCTGAGCTCCTAGGGAGCAGGGACCGGGTTTGGACCCCCAGTGTCTAGAAGAACACCTGCCACAAAATGTCCTCAGATAAATGTTTGCTGTGTAAACAAAGTAGGCGGATACTTCGAAAGTTTTTTGGAAAGCTTCCCTTATCCTTGCAATCTTTTCTATGTAGTTTGTTCAACAAAGACTTTAAAGAACATTTAGGAGAGACAAATTTCACCCCAGTGTCAAAGTTCTGATATGTTCTGAACGGGGGGGGGCCCTGAGTTGTCGCATTTTGCTCTGTCTGCACACTGCAAAAGTTCAGAGAGTATCGATATATTAGTATCGATATAAACGTAGAAATAGACATTTAAATAAACATTTAAAACTGGAGATCAAGCTATACAAGACTTGTGAGTTACTGAACTAGGGTTCTTTATGATTTTTAGGCGACATAGAGTTAGACTGCAGATCCTGCTCTGACCCTGTCTACCTGTATTTCTCTGAGGGTCCATTTCTTTTCTAGTGGAAATGCTTCTATTGGCCCCACCTACATCACAGCAAACGAGACAAGCCATATGCCGTTGGTTTGAAGCTATTCAGATATGAGTGGTGCAATAATATGAAAAAAGATCCTATGACTTGCTAACAGATAACTATACCTGAAAACATTGTCAGGCTATCATTGTCCAAGGCCATCTATCACATGCAAAGCCATTTAAACCAGAAGTGCTTGCTTTTTCTGTTGACACCCACGGTAGTTTGTTGTAGGCCCTTTTAACTGCCAGGAAGTTCAGCACTAAACATAGTGTTCTGTTCTTAACCATTCCAGTCTAAGTTTGTTTTTGATTATTTCTTCCTTTTCTCTTTGTACTTATTGATTTTTTATTTCCATTTAATGATTTTATTGAACATGCATCTTTTTTGTAACAGTTTTTTTTTTTTTTTTTTTTGCTGAGGATGATTTGCCCTGAGCTAACATCTGTTGCCAATCTTCCTCTTTTTGCTTAAGGAAGATTCATTCTGAACTAACGTCTGTGCCAACTCCTGCTATTTTGTATGTGGGTCGCCGCCACGGCATGGCTGCTGATGAGTGGTGTAGGTCCACACCTGGGAACTGAACCTGGGCCACCAAAGCGAAGTGTCCCAAACTTAGCTACTAGGCCACGGGGCTGGCCCCTGTAACAGTTTTATTGAAACATAATTCACATACCATATAATTCACCCATTTAAAGTGTACAAGTCAATGGTTTTTATTGTATTCATAGAGTTGTGTAACCATTACCACAGTCGATTGTAGAACATTTTCATCACCTCCAAAGGAAGCCTGTACCTTTTAGCAATCCCCCTATATATTCCCTGTACCCACAGCCCTAGACAACCACTAATCTATTTTTTATCTCTGTAGATTTGCCTGTTCTGGATATTTCATATAAATGGAATCACCAATATGTGGTCTTTGATGTCTGGCTTCTTTCATTTAGTGTAATGTTTTCAAAGTTCATCCATGTTGTAGAATGTATCAGAACCTTGTTCCCTTTTATGTCTGAATAATATTCCATTGTATGTATATGCCACATTTTGTTTATCCATTCATCTGTCAATGGTCATTTGGGTTGTTTCCACCTTTTGGCTATTATGGATAGTGCTTCAATGAATATTCACATACAAGTACCTGTTTGAATCTGTTTTCAATTCTTTTGGGTATATACCTAGAAGTGGAATCACTGGGTTATATGATAATTCTATATTTAACTTTTTGAGGAACCACCAAATTGTTTTTAAGCATGCATCTTTTGAATATGTTTCAGCCTCCTCAAATTGTAAATAAATGAATTATATGCTCATGGACTTTTATAGAGGAGCCGTCCTAGTTCCCACACGTGAGGGCAATTCTAGTGTAAGATGTAAGATCAGGTTCTAACTACCAATTTAAGCATGTGGAAGAATCTAATCCTTCTGCTCCCTTTCCAGGCGTGCTGCAGATTTAGCTCAGAAATCCTCCTCCTCACATTCTGATCACTCATCTGAAACCTCATTGCCTAAAATCCAAAACGATAAATATCCTGAGGAATTCAGCCTGCTTAAGTTGCAAACAAGTGAGTAAGTCAGAGTTCTTCCTCCACACGCCTCCGTGCTCAGGGACTGTTTAGAAGTCTGCCATACTGCTGGGCACCGTTCACTGAAGACCCACTAAGTGCCAGGCATGGGACACACTTCATCTCTAGTTCTCACAAGTCTGCTGGGGAGCTATCATTATATGTCTTTCAAAAGTAAAATATCTTTATATAGAAACCATAAAAGTACTGTAGCAAAATATTAAAATAGTGAAGAAATATGTAGAGTATAAAACACCTTCTCCAATATTCTCCAACAATATCCCCTTTCTGCCCCATAGCTGTGAAGAGTTTGATATATATTCTTCTAGAATTTTGAAATGTATATGTATGTATGTGTGTATATATATATATTATACATTATATATATATGGATTGTAACATACAACCATATTTTCACTGGTAAGAAATAATATGCAAATTATTTTCACTGAAAGTAAATAGATCATGGCTCTCCTTCTGTGTCAATACATATAGATCTACATGGCTAATGGAGACCTACGCATTTTACACAGAAGGAAGCCAAGGCTGGAGGGATTCAGTCACCCGTATGTGTACACGTAGCCTGGAAGTAGAGGGATGGGATTAGAGCCCAAACTTGCCTGCCTCCACAGCCCACATTCTTTCTTGTCCACTGCGGAACCCAGGTGTTTCTCAAGCAACCCTAGAGCTTTAGGGGGTCTTTTATTGTTTAAGACCACTTGAGCATTTTTACAGGGAAACTATCAAATGAAGAAACAGAGACACTGAGAGGTCAAGTAACTAGCCCAAGTCCTCACAGCAGCCTTTCTCACTTGCCATTGTCACATGTACACATTTCCCTGTGTCACTGTAGTGCGTATGGGTGCCATTGTTGCTGCCAACACCATGGACCATCCAGTAAGATGCCATGGTTGGCCCAGCCCATCCCTGGTTGATGGGCGTTCTGTTCTTCCTACACGCTTATCAAAGTGAAGGTTGGATCAGAGGCACTTGTAAAGCTGTGTCTGAGCTTCCCAACCCGTACGTCACTTCTAATCATAAAATTGGCTTTATTTTTGGAGAGGAGGAAAAAAAGGAAAAATAAAAAAAGAGGCCTCTTAGATAGCTTTCTCTCTATTTCCTTTCCCTTTGTGCCTAGTCCCACAGAAGTTAACCCTGCCCCTGGGTTAGAACCAAGGACTTTTACCCTCTGGTAAATGCACAGCTAGATCGTGCCTGGGGAGTTTTCACAACTTTTTTTGTCATCCAGCTGCATTATGAGGCTGGGAGCAGTGCTAATGGAAGGATTTCTGATGTCTTGCAGAAGATGGGCAGCGTCCTGAGTGGACATTTTACCCGAGGTTTAGCAGCAATATCCACACCTATCATGTCGGAAAGCAGTGCTTGTTTAACGGGGTCTTCCTCAGCAACAGGCGGTCTGTGTCAGAGAGGACAGTGGACAAGTGCTTTGGGAGGAAGAAATATGGTAACGTTTTCCTCCTGGACTTTGTGCAATGCCCGAAAATACTCTTGCGTCGTGATTCTGCAGGCCCAGCATTCTGTGGCTGGGGCAGCCCTGCGGGGTCACCGTGTCACCCTAGTGCAGCCAGGAGGATAGGAGAGGGAAGGGATGGTTGGCAGGCTGCACTGTTTGGCAAAGAACTCACAACATATGCTGATCCACATTTTAATTTTTCTCAGAATTTCATAAAATGCTAATGTGATATTTAAGTCATCAGATAAGTTCTCTCAGACACTTATTAATAGAAACCTTCATTGAAGTCTGAAGAAAATAATTTATGTTTCTATTAGATGCTGCCTGTCATATGCATGTAAATTGTACTTTATATTCTTCATAGGGAAAATATCCCATAAACTTTAGCCTCAAGTGCATGTTATTTTATAGCTTATTTAATTAAAGGTAATTGAGATGAGCATTTGTATATATTATATATATAAACATCTATCATCAATATATATATATCTCCTTAGTTTGTCACTTGGTGAGTTCTCTGTACCAACCTACCCATAGTGGATTTATTAAAAGACCTTAAAGATTTGCTGAGTACCAAGGGACCGTTTATAGCATGGTCTTCTACAGAAATACCTGTGTAGGAGGCAGCCATTGATTCAGGGATGGACAGGATTGCTGTAGCAGGAATACAAAGAAAAAATAGAAAGTTCTCATTTTTGAGTTTTAAAATAGACTCTTAAACTCATAGCAGAGACAAATAGTTTTGACAACTAAGGCTTTTGTTTGGCTAGAGAATACATGAAAAGCCAGACTAGAGGAGGTGGGAGAGTAGTCACTGAGATAGGGATCTGAGGAGTCCTACATCCTGCCCAACTCCTGAGATCAAAATCGACTGGCTGATCAGACGTGAATCTAGCTGGGGCTTCTGCCTCAGAGTGTGGCTCGGCAAAGACCTTGAGCCTCAGAATGAAGCAGCATCTGGCCTGACTCTGAGCAGGAGATGAGTGAGAGCTGTGGGCAAGGTATGGGCAGAAAGCCAGTCTCAGGGTCTCACCCACCCAGGAGATGCGGAAGAATAGCTGCGTTTCTGCGCCTTTTGAAGACTGTGGAGGTTAGGACAGAGAGAAAGAATGAAAGAGAGAGAAAGAAAGAGAGAGGGTGAGAAAGAGAAAGAGAGAGCAAGCAGGAGAGCTGCACAGTTCTCACAGCTGGAACGCTGGGAGGCCACAGTATGATGCACTGTGGCCCATCAAGCCAGGGATCATATGAGTATATATTTGTGCTTCACCACCGGATGCGTTGCCCCACCGGTTACCTTCCGCTCTTAGAAGGAAGGAAAAGTTTTCCCATATGGTCCTTTGGAGACTTCCTTCCACCTGTGTCTCACTGGCCAGAACTGGGCCAGCTCCCAGTATTTATCAAAAGTAAATGGGGTTACCATGATGATCCAAATCCTAACCCTAACCCATTATTTCCCTTCTAACTCAAGGGTAAATATTGTCCTGAATTTTGTGTTTTTTATTCCCTTTACTTCTCTCCTTCCTTTTATGGTTTTTGTCAATATTGAATAAACGCAAAGCTATGTTTATGAAATATTTAGTGAAGATATAGAATAAAACATCACAAACACTTTTATGATTCTCATTCCAGTTAAGAAATAGAATATTTTCTTTATATTTGAAACTGCCAATAGGCCCCTCCCTGAATACAACATCTTTCCTCCTTCCACTCCAGTGGCAATCTCTATCCTACCTTTATTAAAGAGAAAAACTTTTTATTAGGGACATTTTCAAAGATCTGCCAAAGTTGAGAGAAGAGCATAATGTAACCCGATGTTCCCATCACTTAGCTTCAACAATTATCAACACGTAGCTAATCTTGTTTCATCTTTGCCTCTCTTCCCCAGGGATTATTTTAAAGCAAGTTCCAGACATCATATAATTTCATCTGTAAATATATCAGTATTTACCTCTAATAGATAAGGGTTATTTTTATTAACATAACCACAATACCATTCTCACATCTTAAAAAAATTAACAGTAATTCCTTAATATCATCAAATATTCATTCGGTGTTCAAATATCCAGCTATCTCACAAATGCCATAATTTAAAAATATTTATAGTTTGAATCAGCACCACGGTCCACACTGAAGAATTAGTTGATATGTCTCTTAAGTCCCTTTAACATACAGGTCTGCCTTCCCTTTTTTTCTTACAATTTATTTGGTGAAGAGACTAGGTCATTTGTCCTGTACAGTTTGCAACAGTCAGGATTTTGCTGATTACATCCCTTAGCACCATTTAACAGGTTCTTTTGTCCCTTGTATTTCCTGTAAACTGATGTTGGATCTCTAAATTTGATTCATTTTAGTGTGATTACTTCTTAGGTGATGTTGTGCAATCAGTTGTTGAAATATCAAATGTAGCAGGTTTTTCCCCATTTCTTCTCTTCCTTGATCTTGTTGCAGCACGTGATACTGTTAAGCTTGACACTGGACACTTCTTCCTCTGTGAAATTCTCTACCCCCTCATTATTTCTCGGATAAGATGGAGAGGCAGCATCAGGGACTGCCAGCCAGTTGCCATTTTGAACTGGACTTTGAGACATTTATTATGGAAAGAAATCAATCAAAATATATGTAATTAATGGTTGACTCTAACCCATCAGCTATGATCAGGCCATTGGTGGAGTTCCCTTAAGACCTAATTTGTTACCACAGAAGGAAGAACAAAAGGCTGCCTATGATCATAGATTGTAGGGGAAGTAGATCTGAAAGCATAATTTATCTCTTGTATAACTCTGCCTACAGTGTAGCATATTGTAGTAGTCAGAATAGGATGGATTCTGCTGCAGTAACAAACAATCCCTGAAATCTCATCTGCTTAACCATCAAAGTTTACTTCTTTCTTTTGCAAAGTCCCCTGTGGATCCAGCAGCTCTGCAGGGCAGCTCCCTTGCAAGCAGTGACTCAGGGATCCTTTTTGCTTTCACCCATGACTTCTCCAGCTCAACGTCGAGCTTCTAAGGTTGCCATAGCAGGAGAAAGAGAAAGTGCTGGAGGGTCACACATCAGCTCTTAAATGCTTCTTCCTGGAAGTGACACACATCATCTCTGCTCACAGCCTATTGCTTAGAACATGGCTCTACCTAACTGCATTGGGGTGGGGAAACATGGGGCAGAATATGTTACTTGGTGAACAGTTTGCTTGTTCATATGGTTATCTGATTTCAGTGTGTGTATCCCATTTTCTTCCTCCTGAATGTCTTTATATCCAGGAGATTGGATGGTTTGTGTGAAAGCACGAACAAGCGTTAGAATTGATCACGATGTGTAATGAATCTCTCAGCTTACTGATTCACAGTGGCCAGCACTTTGGGTTGATACCTGTTTTTGTAGAATATTCAGAAGTTGTACCTAGTAGATTCCATACTATACCTAAGAGCTTAAACAAACACGTTGTCTCAGAGGTGTTGTTTGGGAGATTTTTCCCTAAAAGTAACATCTTATACTTACACATAAGCCATTGGTTCTTTTTCTACTTGCTGACATTATCTTGTGAGATCTTTTACGGTAGTATATTTCTAAGTGTTGTCCTCAGATCACATGTATCATACTCAACCTGAGAGTTTGTAAAAAATGCTAGTTCTTGAACCAGCACTGATGGCCTAGTGCTTAAAGTTCAGCTCTCACTGTTTTCAATGGCCTGGGTTCTCTTCCTGATCACAGAATGACACCGCCCATCTGTCAGTTGCCACGCTGTGGTGGCGGCTCACATAGAAGAACTAGAACAACTTCCAACTAGGATATACAACCACGGACTGGGGCTTTGGGGAAGAAAAAAAAAAAGAGGAAGATTGGCAACAGATGTTAGCTCAGGGCAACTCTTTCCCAGCAAAACAAACAAACAAACAAACAAACAAACAACAAACTAGCTCTGGGAACCACTCCAGACCTAAAACAGGATTTCCTGCATTGGGACCCAAGAAACTATTTTTAACAAGCTTGCTAGGTGATTCTCACTTATGCTAAAATCTTAGAACTACTGTTGTGTAGTGTACGGCATTTACCACCTTATATAGTATTATTTAATCTCCTTATATATGTGTCTTGTCTCCCCAGCTGCGTAAGATTCCCTGGGGAGTGGCTTACACCTTAGCTAAATGGCAGTTGTATTTTCCAGGTTAAAAGAAATTGGGATGAGGGGTGGTATTAGCCTAGTCCTCATTTCAAATAATAATAACTACTACCATTTCTTGAGTGCGGGGTATGTGCCCAGATTATGCTCACTTAGTACTCATGATGACTCTGCAAAGTAGATCTTTGAGATAAACAGTTTATAATTGAGGATTCTAAGGCTTAGGGAAGTTAGATAAACAGCTCAAGGGCACGGAACTAGAAACTGCAGAATGTAATTCGCACTCAGGCTTGACTGCCTCCAAAGTCCAAACTCTTCTTGCCACCTCTTGCTGTCACCTTATCTTTACCTGTTGGTGCCCTGACTTGGGATTCAAAAGATAGGGTTGCTCCATCTCCTTGCTTTGACTCCTCAGCACCTCATACCCAGCAGGCACTCAATGCATGGCTGCATTTGATGCTATTCACTACACTTAAGAGCTCATAAAAAGTTTAGATGAAGAGTCTTAGCTATTGAAAGAGCTTTTGAAAGAGAAAGGTAAAAATTAAAAACTCCAGTAACTCAGGCACTTCTGCCTATTGTGTAGACAGCTTTGCTGGGTTAGCTAGAGGAATTTGAGTACGTAGGAAACAGCCTATCAAAAATCTGCCCTAGCACTCCCTTTGGCTTGTATCTTGTGGGCACAATTGAATTGAGCAATGTGAAAACAAGCATTTAAAAAGGAAAAGAAGAGGCCTGTTATTGGATGTGTCATGACACGTTGCGTTTGTCATTGGGTGTGTCCTCCTTCCAAGAAGGAGGTGGTGCTTCCAGCCACACATCCCTGCCTCTGATCCCAAGGCTGGTTAGTCTCATAGTCCAGGCTTGTTCTCTTAGGAGATGGGTCTAATATCAGAGGTGCAGGTTTAAATGACCATCTTGCACCAGGCTGGCTCTTTTTGAGCTTATGTGACTAGTTACTTTTCCTGGGTTATTTGAAGGGGCTGAGTTGGGCGTCAGAGCATCGGCTGAGTAGGCAGCGTGTGCTCTGCAGCAGTGGACTTTCTCCTGACTCCTCTTCCCCGGGAAGGCTACCTCCCGCTGCTGCACTACTCCAGGCCTTGAAGGAGAAGGAAGAGCGGGGCTCTCATTAGCCGATTTCCTCCTGAGACCCAACAAGAGAGGCAGAGCCCTGATGACAGTCACTTCTAGAGGTTTACAGGACTCAGGGCTTCAAAATGCACTAATGCTCAGGAATGAAAAGATTTCAAGCAGAGTTCTTGTTCATCATTACAGACAGACTTATGAGTCACTGTTCATTTTAAACCAAAACATCACATCCGAACCTAAGCTATTCTTCTTTCCCAGGGTGAGGTAATCATAACAACACCTTTTAGAAAATATCCCAAACACGGGATTGCACTTTTATGCTCATCATCTCAAGGTAAGAGAATCACAAACAGAACTTTGAGAAACCTGTATATACCTTATAACAAAACAGTAAATTATCCTATTTCCATGGTAATGTCAATACTTAGAGCAAATTTGTGGATAATCTTCAGCCTTTTTTATGATTTTTTTTAAACATCTCTTGCAGATATTGATCCCAGGAATGGAATCCCAAAGTTAACTCCTGGAGATAATCCATATATGTACCCAGAACAGAGTAAAGACTTCCACAAAGCAGGATCAACTCTCCCACCTGTGAATTTTTCACTGTAAGTGTATGCTAATACTAGGGTTATTCAGTTAACTTTAGAGGAATGTATCTTTCTCTGCTACATATAAATTATATTTTACAAGGGGTAGATCTCAACAAGACATGGTTGGTGAAAATTCCTAAAAAAGTCCATATCTAGTTCCTTAGTATGTGCACATATGCACGTGTATAATTGAAATTATAAACAGGATATTGACTCCAAAAAAGTGGCTGTTAAATTTATCCCTACTGTTATTACCACAAGTTTGAAGTCTTTTCAATTTCATGTCAAATCAGAGTTTTGGTTAGTGACTACCATTTGGGTTGACTTACACTTGGAACTAAACTTAGACCAAAGTGATTGAGGGGCAAGGGATGGTCATTAAATGAAAAGAAAAATAATTGGTGTATTATGTTAAAAATGAAATTTGAAAAATTAATCATATTTGATTTAATGATGTTTACTAAAAATGATAAAAAATAGTAAGAATTATGGCCTTTACAGTTTTGAAGCCCACATGTGACAATTAAAACCAGAAAATAAGACTTTTTGCTGAACATAATGATGTATTGATCTCTTTGCTGTAGAAGCCATCCCAATATTATGATTGTCTTTTGTTTTTCAGAGTGCCTTATGAAAAGAAATTTGATACATTTATTCCACTTGAGCCTCTTCCACAAATTCCCAAGTGAGTTCTCCCACTATGTTTTACATTATCCTATCTTTATGGAAATATCAATTATTTAATGGAGGAGCTCATAGACACCCAACACACAGGGACCTTTTGAGTCCCAGCAGGCGGGTGGGGCAGTTTGTATAGAGAGTTTTTGGTGAGACACTTGAAGAGCAAGTGTCTGTGGAGTCTGGCAGCTGAGCTGCTCACATCTTCAACAGATGTGATTGACACACTACCAGATGCCATGTGGTGTGCTGGGTATGCACTATGGGTGATTTATGTAGAGCAAAAAGACAAGGTCCCTGCTTTCTAAAACATAAGAGTTTGTTGGAAAAGAAAGACACATGCTTAAATGAGTGCAGCCAGGGAGGATGGTTAGAGTTTGAAGAGGCAGAGAGAAAGCTGTTGGAGTTTTCCTGCATTTGAGGGAAGTATCATTCCTCTGATCTCATATTTTAGCTCAGCTCCATTCTGAACCTCATTTATTTGCCCAAGTGGGGTCTGATCTAGAAAGAGATATGTGTCAGTATAAAAAATTTCGCTTCCTAATACAAGTCTCATGCGAGTATGAATAGAGTGGGCAAGTGTCCCAAACCCTGTCAGAGTTCAGCTGGGAGACCAAACCTTGAAGCCCAGTGGTAATAAAAGCCCTTTGTTCCACAGTTGGGAGCTCTAATACCTTCATTATGCATTATTATTTAAAGAAAGTAATTAGGGCCTCTCCTATCTGTACTGTACATGTTTTATAAACACTATTCTAGAATATTTAAAATAATAGTAATTTCCAGGCCACAAAACAAGCCTTAATAAATTTAGGAAGATATCATGTCGAGTATCTTTTGCAACCACAAATGTATGAAATTAGAATTCAATTACAGGAAGAAAACTAGAAACTTCAACAAATATGTGGAGATTAAACATGCTCCTGAACAACGAATGAGTCAAAGAAGAAATCAAAAGATAAATAAAAAAATACCTTGAGACAGGTGAAAATGGAAATACAACATACCAAAATGTATGGGATGAGGCAAAAGCAGTTCTAAGAGGGAAGTTTATAGTGATAAATGCCTACATTAAGTGAAATGAAAGATCTCAGATAAACAACCTAACTTTACAGCTCAAGGAACTAGAAAAAGAAGAATAAACTAAGCCCAAAGTTAGTAGAAGAAAGGAAATAACAAAGATTAGAGTGAAAAGAAATAAAATAGAGACTAAAAAGATGATAAAAAAGATCAAGAAAATTAAGAGCTGGTCTTTGAAAAGATAAACAAAATAGACAAACCTTTAGCTTAACTAACCAAGAAAAAAAAGAGGGGACTCAAATAAAATTGTAAGTGAAAGAGGAGACATTGCAACTGATACCACAGAAATACAAAGGATCATAAGAGACTACTGTGAACAATTATACACCAAATTGGATAACCTAGAAAAAAAATTGATAAATTTCTAGAAACATACAATCCAATAAGACTGAATCATGAAGAAATAAATCTGAATAGACGAATTATAAGTAAGGAGATTGAATCGGTAATCAGAAACCTCCCAACAAAGAAAAATCCAGGGCCAAATGTCTTCACTGGTTAATTCTATTAAATATTTAAAGAAGAATTAATTTCAATCCTTCTCAAATGCTTGCAAAAAATAGAAGAGGAAGGAACACTTCCAAGCTCATTTTATGAGGCCAGCATTACCCTGATACCAAAACCAAACAAGGACACTACAAGAAAATATTACAGGCTAATATCTCTGGTGAACATAGATGCAAAAATCCTTAACAAAATACTAGCAAACCTAATTCAACAGTACATTGAAAGGATCATACACCATGATCAAGTAGATTCATTCCGGGGATGCAAGGATGGTTCAACGTCCATAAATCAGTGAATGTGATATACCACATTAATAGAATGAAGGATAAAAAGCATATGATTGTCTCAATAGATGCAGAAAAAGCATTTGACAAAATTCAACATTTTTTCATGATAAAAACTCTCAAGAAATTGGGTATAGAAGGAATGTTCCTCAACATAATAAAAGCCATATATGACAAGCCCACAGCTAACATCATACTCTTAGAGGATCTTAGAGGAAAAGCTTTCAGGAACAAGACACGACAGGGATGCCCACTCTCATTGCTTGTATCCAACATGGTAGTGGAAGTCCTCGACAGACCAATTGGGGAAAAAACCCCCAAAAAACAAAAGGAAAAGCATGCAAATCAGAAAGGAAGAACTAAAATTGTCTCTCTTTGCAGATGACATGATATTGTACTTAGAAAACCATAAAGATTCCACCATAAAACTGTTAGAACTAATGAATGAATTCAGTAAAGTTACAGGATACAAAATCAATATCCAAAAATCAGTTGCATTTCTAAATACTAACAATGAACTATCAGAAAGAGAAATTAAGAAAACAATCTCATTTATGATAGCATTAAAAAGAATAAAATACCTGGGAATAAATTTAACCAAAGAGGTAAAAGATCTGCACACTAAACACTATAAGATGTGGATGAAAGAAATTGAAGAAGACGCAAAGAAATGAAAAGATATTTCATGCTCATGGATTAGAAGAATTAATAATGTTAAAAAGTCCACACTACCCAAAGTGATCTACAGATTCAGTGCAATCCCAATCAAAATTCCCATGGCATTTTCACATAAATAGAACAAACAATCCTAAAATTTGTATGGAATTGCAAAAGACCCCAAATAGCTATAGCAATCTTAAGAAAGAAGAACAAAGCTGGTGGCATCACATTTCCTGATTTCAAATTTTATTACAGAGCTACAGTAATCAAAAGAGTGTGGTATTGGCACATAGATCAATGGAACAGATTAGAGACCCCAGAAATAAACCCATGCATGTGTGGTCAATTATTTTACAACAAAGGAGCCAAGAATATACAGTACGGAAGGGATAGTCTCTTCATTAAATGGTGTTGGGAAAACTGGATAGCCACATGCAAAAGAATGAAACTGAATATTTATCTTAAATGACATACACAAAAATTAACTCAAAATGGATTAAAGACTTGAATGTAAGTCCTGAAACCATAAAACTCCTAGAAGAAAATATGGGGTAAATATGGAATATGGGGGAATATGGAATGGGAGAAAATATTTGCAAGTCTTCTGTCTGATAAAGGGTTAATATTCAAAATACATAAAGAACTCATACAACTCAACAGCAAAAACCCAAACAATCCTATTAAAAATTGGGTGGGGCTGGCCTAGCGGCATAGTGATTAAGTTTGTGCATTTTGCTTTGGTGGCCTGGGGTTCATGGGATTGGATCCCAGGTGCAGGCCTACACACTGCTCATCAAGCCATGCTGTGGCAGCATCCCACATACAAAATAGCCAGCGACAATCTTCCTCTAGCAAAAAGAGGAAGATTGAAAAATAGATGTTAGCTCCGGGCCAATCTTCCTTATCAAAGAAAGAAAAAAAACGGTCAAAGGAACTGAATAGATATTCCCAAAGAATATATACAAATGGCCAACAGGTACATGAAAAAGTGCTCAACATCACTAATCATCAGGGAAACGTAAATCAATATCACAGTGGGATCTCATGCGACACCTGTTAGAATGGCTATCATCAAAACGACAAGATAACGAGTGTTGGTGAGCACATGGAGAAAAGAGAACTCTTTTGCACTGTTGGTGGGAATGTAAGTTGGTGCAGCCACTATGGAAAACAGTATAGAAGTTTTTAAAAAATTAAAAATAAAACTACCATATGATCCAGCAATTCTACTTATGGGTATATTTCTAAAGGAAATGAAAACAGGATCTCAGAGATATCTATACTCCCATGTTCATTGCAGCATTATTTACAACACAATAGCCAAGATATGGAAACAACTTAAGTGTCCGCCAATGAATGAATGGATAAAGAATATGTGATATATATATAACATATTAATATACAGAGTTCATATATATATAATAGAATATTATTCAGCCATGATAAAGAAGGATATCTTGCCATTTATGATAACATGGATGGACCTCGAGGGCATTGTGATTAGTGAAATAAGTCAGACAGAGAAAGACAAATACTGTGTGATCTCACACGCGGAATCTAAAAAAGGTGAACTCATAAAAACAGAGACTAGAATGGTGGAATCTGGGAATCTAATGCACAGTGTGGTGATTATAGTTGGCAATAGTGTATTACATACTTGAATGTCGCTGAGAGAGTAGACCTTAAAAGTTCTCATCACAAAGAAGAAATGGTAATTATGTGACATGATACAGGTGATAGCTAAGTCCATGGTGGTCATCGTTTTATAATACATGTGTATCAAATCAACACATTGTACCCCTTAAACTTACACCATGTTGTATGTCAATTATATCTCAATAAAGTTGGGGAGGAAAAAAGCAATTGCCCGGGTCCTACTACCCTACCCAACTACTTTTTAGCTTTTGAACATTGCTTTCCAAATGAAAATATGTTTTTACATGTATAAATCATAGCATACCAGAGAGTCTGGTTTTCCTTAAAAAAGGTAAGTTTTTTTTTTTTTTTTTTTTTTAAGAAGGATGGCACACTGTAGATCGCACATTGTCCTGTGCTGTGGCTGATAAGAGAACTGGGAGACATGGAGCCCTTCCTCAGGGCTTTGACAGCTGCCCCCGTGAAAAGTCTATAACCAGTCACGGGAGCAGACTGTTCAAACTTGCTCTCTTCTGAGATCAACGTTAGAATATTTAATCTTTCTAGAAAATTATCCATTTTGTTTGGATTTTCAAATTTATTTTTATAAAATTGTTCAAAAATGTCTTATTTAAAAAATTTCCTCTTTTGATTGTTGATTTTCCCTCATCATTTCTTCTTCTGTGTTTGGGCTTTATCCCCCTTTTTCTTAATTACGTTAGATAGTAGTTTGTCTACTTGGTGTTTTTTAAAACCGGCTTTAAAAAATTTATTTTCTTTTCATACTGTTTCTCTGTTTTTAAAGCATTAATCTTTGCTTCTATTTTTATTATTTCCTTCCTTCTGCTTATTTTGGTTTACTTTTATTTTTTTTTCTGGTGTGTATGTGTGTGTGTGTGTGAGGAAGATTGGCCCTGAGCTAACATCTGTTGCCATCTTCCTCTTTTTGCTTGAGGAAGATTCTCGCTGAGCTGACATCTGTGCCAGTCTTCCTCTATTTTACGTGGGATGCTGCCACACCATGTCTTGATGGGTGGTCTGTGTCCACGCCCTGGGTCTGAACCTGCAAACCCTGGGCCGCGGAAGCAGAGTGTGCAAACTTAACTGCTACACCACTGGGCTGGCCCCCTTTTGTTCCTATTTTCTGAATGGGATGTTTAATTCATCTTTAAATTCTTTAATTTTTCTTAATATCTATATTAAAGGCTATGAATGTACCTCTGACTACCAAAATGTTATGCATTTTGACATGTAGAGTATCTTTAATTTTTAATGAATTCTGAAGTTGGGTTGGTATTTTCCTTTTGACTAAAGAGTTACTTAATAGAGAGATTTTAAATTACCAGGAGAAAGAGCTTTTTGATTTTTATTTTGTAATTCACTTTTACTTTTATCACATGATCAGAAAATATTGTTTTCATTATTTTTATTTTATGGAACTCAGCAAATTTTTCCTTGTAGTCTAAAAAATTTAAGCAAATTTTCCCATGTAACCTACGCTCAACTTTGGGACTGTCCCCCGTGCATTTGAAAGTGTATTCTATGTCATCAGGATACAGAGTTAGATAACACCAGATTTATCTTATTGATTATGGTGTTTAGTCTCTATATTTCTTTGCTCATTTTCATCCACTTGCCCTAGCTTGGACTGAGAGTTGAAGTGTTCAAATATTCGTGTGTTTCTATCTTTATTGTTAATTGTAGCCATTAGCATTATAAAAATCTTTCTTTTTCTCCTTCAGTGCTTTGTCCTTCATTATACCTTGGCAGATACTGGGATTACAACTCTTTCTTTGTTTTGTTTGCATTTGACTAACATGCCTTTGCCCATTCTTTGAGTTTTAGACTTTTTTTTTTTTTAATTTAAGTTCCTTATATCTTTTTTTTTTTAAAGATTTTATTTTTTTCCTTTTTCTCCCAAAGCCCCCCAGTACATAGTTGTATATTCTTCGTTGTGGGTCCTTCTAGTTGTGGCATGTGGGACGCTGCCTCAGTGTGGTTTGATGAGCAGTGCCATGTCCGTGCCCAGGATTCGAACCAACAAAACACTGGACCGCCTGCAGCGGAGCGCACGAACTTAACCACTCAGCCACGGGTCCAGCCCCTGAGTTTTAGACTTTTGAATCACTTTGTTTTAGATGTCTCTTAGACATAGAATTGGGTTTTGCTTTGTAAGCCAATCTGAAAATATTTTTCTTTAATAGGTGAATTAAGGCTATTTGCATTTATTGATTTGACAAAGTTGATTTCACTTCTATCATAATACTTTGTTACATTTATTATGTGTATTGTATTATATTTACCATGAGCCTTTCAATGTTTTCTTTGATTGCTTTAACAAAAGTTAAAAAAAATTTTCTTTGATGTTTAGGAATGCTTGTGTTTTTGTTCCAGTGGCTCTTTATGCCACTATTTTTCTATGTTGTTCTTTGTCCTGCTTTTCTTTCTTTCTTTCTTTTTGTTGTTGGGGAAGGTTTGACCTGAACTAAGATCTGTTGCCAATTTTCTTCTTTTTGCATGAGGAAGGTTCGCCCTGGGCTAACATATGTGCCAGTCTTCCTCTATTTTGTACGTGGGTTGGTGCCACAGCCTGGCCACCGATGAGTGGTATAGGTCTGCACCGGGCCACCAAAGCGGAGTGTGCCAAAATTAACTGCTAGGCCATGGGACTGGCCTCTGTCCTACTTTTCTTACTTGGGCTTCTACTATTGGTTTGCCAGCTTTAAATGATAACCTTGACTCCCACCTGTTACTATGTGGTGATCCTCCTCTTCCTTCTTCCAGGCACTTCCCTACCCCAGCAGGTGTATCAGGGCATTTTCCCCACCAAGATGCATTTCTCCCTAAAAGTGTGAAAATTCTAGCTGCCAAAAGTTAAAAACTTTCTTCATTTCCCGGCTGTGACTCATCCCAGGAGTCACACTTCCTGGCACCTCTTGGAACACACACAGTGCAGTCCTTTCAAATCTCGACAGAGCTGGGAGGATGCTGGGTGTCTGTTAGCTGAGGTCCCAGCAGAAATCAGAAGGCACACTCCACTGAGATTCTGAGGACAGTGTCATGAAAGGACTGTTGACAGATGTGTGGGCAGGTTGAGAGGGCCAAGCACCCAACAGTGGGAAGCTCTTACTACTCCTCGGTCTGAGCAGCAGGAAGAGGGATCCTGGTTCACAGGGCAGTGGGAGATGGAGAAGGGCTGTCTGAAACGAGTTGTGGAGGTGGAGAATGCAGCCTCCGCCAGAACTGGGTACCTCAGGAGACAGGGAGGGAGTGGAGGAGCTCGGTAAGAAATACCCCAACCTCTACTCTTCCCACCTTCTGATCTCCTGTGGTGCCTCCCATTGGCTAAGCTCAGTTCAAAGGTGCTGGCAGGGAGGGGTGAGGGAGATGAGGTTGCAGGGGTCAGCTTCCTGGGCAGAGAAGGGCAGAAAAGAGATCCGGGTTTGGGGCGGGGGCACATGATGAACAACTAGAGTGGAGTTTCATTTTGACACTGGTGTCCTAAATTGGAGGCATTCTTACTTTTGGAGGATGTAGCTCCTTGTCCACTGACACTGTTTGTGAATTTTGCATGAGACAAACTCCAATGCAAGGTGTTGTTTTCTTCCTACAGTTTGCCTTTCTGGGTGAAGGAGAAGGCCAACAGACTGAAGAATGAGATAAGAGAAGTTGAGGAGCTTGACAATTGGCAGCCAGCGTTCCCCTCGATACACAGTTTACTCACTGCTGGTGGGTCAGGAGCCTTCAAAGAATAGTATTAAAAACTGGAGCCCAGCCTAGCAGAGTAGGCTTTCGAGAGGCTTTGCAGTGGAGAGCAGAGAAGGCAGAGCCTCTCCCAGAGTGGACGGTGTCTTTTGCCCCGAGGTGGTCCCTCAGGCAGATGTCACAGCCGTGCTGGTGCTGCCGGTTGACTGTGTTGGTTGAGAACTGTTAGTCTTGTAACGGAACGCAACCTTTACCTCCGTGCCTCTTTCCACAGGTTCTTTGGACTTTACAAGACAATCCTGAGCCAGAAACAGGCCCACAAAGCATGCGCTGACTGTCCTCTGGAGAGCCTCTTCCAGCTGATTGCTTCTGTCAGGGGGACTGTTTTAAATCTAATGCCTCACTGTGATGAGGAGTCACTGTACTTTGCTTTTGTTAACTTTGTATTTGGAAAACTTTCAACATTACAGATAAGTTGCAAGAATCGTACAATGAACAAACACTTACATATCCTTCACCTACAATTCTTAACATTTGTCCAGATTTGTGCATGTTCTCTCTCTCTCTCTCATGTTATTACTCTTATTATTTTGCTGAATTACTTGAGAGTGAGTGGTAGCCATCATAACCCTTTACTCTTCCATACGTACATACTTCTGTATGTATCTCCTAAAGACAGGGATATTCTCTAACAAACAGAAGACAGATAGAAAATTCAGAGAATTTAACATTAATGCTATACTATTAGTATACTGTCCACATTCACTTTTATTCAGTTAAATTTAGTTTTCTCAGGATGCCCTCACATCAATTGTAAAATGCAGACATTATGTGAACTTTCATTATTTTTGGTAAAACTATTCTCATTTTATCAATACCTTTTGAGATTTTCTCTACTATGCACTTGGTACATGTCAGAAAAATGTGAAGTCTAGATCTCCACCAGCTAATTAATACTATTGCCCTGGAGCTCCATTGCCACTTCGGTATTGTCTGTCTACACAGCCAAGCAGGATGAGAGCGCAGCGAGCACCAATCATGAGTCTTACGGCCTCTCACCAATCGGGCAAGAAGTGAGCATTTGGAGGCAAAGGTGGGAACAAAAGCCAACCCTGTACAGTGAGGCTGCGACTCTCAGCGCTCACACCAATGACTCTCGGCATGGTCGTAGCTGATCTCCTTCTGCCCTAAGGAGACCCCACTGGGTGGCTAATGAAGGCTGCAGATCCGGTCTCCCCCAAACCTTAAAGTGGAAAGAGAGAACTGGGACCCATGCTGAGACTCAAAGTGCCCGAGACATGAGACACAATTTCTTTCCCTGTCAAAAGGTTGTTTCCAGACACAGCCAAAGCCAGTGAAGCCAGCTTAGAACACGGTACATTCGTGCTCTGTTCCTACAGCTCTTTAACCAGCAGAGAACATGGTGGCTCCTGCCAGCAACTGTACCTGCCTGGCCACTCCTTGGGTTAACATCAGCAAACCTCTGTGCTAATTCTCTTGCCCCTGGGACGTGACACCCACCCCCATCCCCAACAAAATCCAGAGAAGAAAATACAACCAAATAATTTAGAAAAGGAAAAAAAAAGATTGCCAACATTTTCTCGAATACATAAACTTCTGAAAAAAAAAATTTTTTTGTGCTTCTATTACTTAAAATATAAAAAAATGTCAACTGCAACCACTTGTGTGGGTGGATAATGGAGAACACAATATAAATGCAAAAAAATGTTCTGCAGGAATTTCCAGATGAGATTATCTAGGTGGAGCAGGAAAGTGCTTCTGGAAGGTACTCTGCTGTTTTGGAGGGAAGGAGTCCTACACAGTCAAGGTATTAAGAAAAACAACCAAAATACAGTTTCAGCAGAATGTGTAACAATCTCCAGATTTCAAAGAGTTCTATATAATTCCTAGATGCTGCTCCAAACCAGAATAGATATGATTTAAAAAAGAAAACTATTAAATGATTGAACTTCTGGAGTTGCAGAGCTACATTCCATCCCCTGGAAATCAGGGCAACTGTCACTGGGTTTGGGGTTCTCTGTGGGCACACCGCAGTGGCCAGGTCTTATGCCATGGCACTCCCAATAGTGGCAGGTGAAAAGTTCCACCGCCAACTTCGGGCAGGACATGAGTGTGTGTGTGAACGCATGCGTGTTTTCAGGGTGACTAAAGGCATAGACAAAGGCCAAATGGGAAAAATATGTGAGTCTCATGGCTGTTGCAGCCCTTTCTTCTTTCTAGGCACAGAGAGGTTGAACCTGTTAGATGTGAAGATCCCCTCCTCCTCACTTTAGGTTCTTTGGTAAATAAAAACATGTGTGCACGGGGCCGGCCAGGTGGTGCAGCCATTAAATTCGCACGTTTGCTTCAGCGGCCCAGAGTTCGCCAGTTGGGATCCTGGGTGTGGACATGGCACCGCTTGTCAACCCATGTTGTGGTAGGCGTCCCACATATAAAGTAGAGGAAGATGGGCATGGATGTTAGCTCAGGGCCAGTCTTTCTCAGCAAAAAGAGGAGGATTGGCAGCAGATGTTAGCTCAGGGCTAGTCTTCCTCAAAAAAAAAAAAAAAATGTCTGGGGGGGTGTGTGTGTGTGTGTTCATTTCTTACTTCCCATAACTGAAACTTGCAGGTTTAACAGAAACAACCTGTGCACAACATTTACAAGTAAACTCATTAGAGTAACAAGTTTACATTGCACAGAAGGAGTTCTAATTTCAGATCCTAGGAAAAAAGAAAAATGGCCTCTGTGGATTGGAGGGAAAATTATGTTATACAGCTAGTGGTACTAAAGTCCAAATAAGCCAAATGAAGACAATTTGAAGACTATTTCTACAGTCTCTGCAATCTATCAAAATATTAAGATATAAGGGTATTAAACTTCTACAATTCCACAAATGATTTATCAATATTCTGCATGATTCCATTAATTGTCTACATTTCTAGTATGAAGTATTCAGTTTGGTTGTTTTCCTTTGCTTGTAGGCATTTGGCCCTCGAAGGCTAGGTAGGTAAAAGCCTTGTTTATAGGACTTGACTTGGGGAAGTATTTTAGAGTTGGAAGTCCTCAAGATCATGCCACCGACTGAGACAGACTTTTCTTTCCTGGCTGGAAAATCGGAAAGAGTGAGGCCGCCACCTAGAACTGAGGAACGTGCCAGATATGGGGTGGTGCACCTTTTAGGGAGTCCACTGGCCAAATTCCCAGTGGATTCTGGGAAAGGATGAAAGAGCCCATTTGAAATGCCTGGTGTCCTTCTCATGCTGGGGAAGTCCAGGAGGAGTTAGGGCCTGGGCTCACGCTGGGGGATGGGTGGCCACTACCCACTTGAGTGAGGATCAACACTGAGGCTCCCAAACCTGGACTTTGTAAGAAATACACACATGAGAAGCAAACATTTCTTGGTCTACATGGAGGGATTCAGCCTCATAACAAATAGGAAGCCAAATACCCCAATGACTTGTTTTCTGAGGAAATGTGTCTGCCTCCACCAAATATGGAGAGGGTGTGGGGGCAGCTTCCAGTGGTGATGGTGTGAGCATAGGTATGACCATTTGTCTAGAAATGGGTCCTTGTGGTCGAGGACAGTGTGAGCTGGAGTAAAACTCGAGGTTCTACTAGAAAGGGAGGACAGAATGGATGCATGAGGCATAATTACACTAACAATTATTTGTTGTTTATCTGAAATTCAAATTTAACTGGGAGTTCTGTAGTTTTATTTGCTAAATCTGGCAACTTAACAGCACCGTTGGCACAAAGGGGATAAAGTTGAGGCCTAGCTAGGAAGTAAAGGGGGCAAGACTGGTATGGCTTGGAAATGAGTTGGGGGGAGGTATGGGAGAAGGAAAAGTGGCAACAAGGGGGCTGGTGGTGCTGTTGCCAGGGCAACATGTGGTATCTTACACATCTGGAGAAAGATGCCTTCTTGGTGGACACAGTCCTGTAGATGCACAGCCCGGTGAGCGGTGTGCAAGCTAGATTTCAGCCTCCATTTGCCCCCTGTGCAGTGAGCTACTTACACAATCATACACGGCAGCCCTGTGCTATTCAGTGAAATAAGAACGCTGGAGAAGTATAGGTTTTCTGGAGGGAGCTCAATTTTGGAAAGTTGAATTTGAGGAATATGTGACACACACAAGTCGAATTGTCCAGCATGTAGTTGGGCATATGAGTCTGGGGTCTGGTATATGAATGAGATAAAAAGTTTCTGTGAGAAATGTAAATTCCAAGCCTATGCCATGTGGATGCAGGGTCTAGATGTAAATTACCTGATTGGAATATCCTTCCCAAACCCAGAAATGAGCTCAAAAAGACTCTTGAACCTCTGGGGCCTGAGAAAAAGCAAATTCTCTTTGGGAACACTTCCTCACCTCAGGGCACAGGGGACTCCCACAGAAATAACACCCACGAAGATGAGTACCTGAGAAAAAATTACGAACTACAATTGGATCCACCACAAGGAGGGGTCAGTAGGTGAACCCAGAGCCATCTTAGGTGATTAACCATGGTTAGAATTACAGTACCAATTACCAGCATTTACTGTGTGTGGAATTCCATTTTGTAGTAACTCGACACCCAGACCGTAGCTCTTCCCAACACTAAGTGAGGAATTTCTAAATGGCCGGGAGGGGCTTAGGGGTGGCAATCTGGTACATGGGGTGGGGCTACAGGACGTCTCTTGAAATTGTATTTGCAAAGCGGCACAGTATTTCTACTTAAATTCCATCTGTTTATTCGGGGAGATAATGAAGATTATGGGGGTGGCTAACCCAACCCCTAGCCATGCCTAGGTGTTGTCAAAGGTTTTTGACTCTAATTTTAACCCTTTCCTGCACAGTCTCTTGATGATAAAAAACTGGAAAGGAAGGAAATTAGAATTTCAATTATTTTCAAAAGACATGAGGGGTGGGGAAATGGGGGAACAATGCAGCCTCCTGATAACATCTCTTGTTACTCCCTTGTAAGCCAGATGGATCTCCAACCTCTTTTTCCTGGGCCAGAGTTTCCCAAATTGTGTTTCCTGTGCATCAATAGATAGTATAAGAAAAAAGGTTTCCAGGGTCAAATCAGTTTGGAAATGCTATATTAGAAAGGGAGTGTATTAGTGTCCTGGGGCTGCCATAACAAAGGACTACAAACTGGGGGGCTTAAAGCAAGAGAAATCTATTCTTTCACAGAGTTGGAGGCCGGAAGTCTAAAATCAAGGTGGCGGCAAGGTTGGTTCCTTCCAGGAGGCCCAAAGGGAGAACACATTCCCTGCCTCCCTCTCAGCCTCTGGTGTTGCCAGCAATCCTTGGCGTTCTCCGGCCTGTAGACACATCGCTCCAATCTCTGCCTCCTTCTTCATATAGCGTTCTCCCTGTGTGTCCACGTCTCTTCTCCTCTTCTTATAAGGACACCAGTCATTGGATTTCGGGCCTACCCTGATCTAGTACAGCCCCATCTTAATTTGATCACATCTGCAAAGATTATTTCCAAATAAAGTCATATTTACAGGTACCAGGGAGTAGGACTTGAATATATCTGTTTGGGGGACACCATTCAACTCACAACAGGGAGAAACAGATTTCTTCATCTGACAACTTCTTAGGCTTTAATTTTGGTGGTTCTATAAAAAGGAGCCGACAGAGCATGCTGGATTTTTCAAATTCAAGTAACCATGAAAAACTTTATTTTTCATGGAGTGTCCCACGTGGCCAGGGCTCTGAGCACCACTTTTGGGTAGGTGAGGAGGAAGTGGAGCCTTTCCCTCATTAAGCCTCCGTTTAGCAATGACCACTCATTCTCCTACAGGTTAATGGTGACTGACTATACAGTCGGGTTGCCTGTTGGTGGCTGTACCTTGTGGCTGCCCTGGCCAGAGATCCTCAGCAGCCTCTGGGGTGGAGATGGCCTCTTTGTGGGGGTCCTGAGGCCTGGCTATTGAGGCTGTGGTGATATGGTGGGGTAGGCTGGACAATCTGGGCCATGCTGGAGGACAGCCTCCAGTTTTCGTGGCTGGGGGGCTCTAGTTTTAGAAGTCTCAGAACTGGCATGATGTTGCATTATTTTGAATCTTGAAATGGGATATGCAGTCTGCATGTTCAAGGGCGCCTTGGGGAACGTTTGACAGAGCAGCTCTGTCCCAATGGGCAGATTGGACAATGCATGCCCCTAGGGGGCGCAATTCACATCGTAGACATGGTAGATCAAATTCTCTTGTCATAAGAGTGTCCCGTTCTCAAAACATCAGTATCCTGTGACAATTTTCCAGCAGGTGACAATAAAGTGCCTTGAGGAAGGGGCACCTTTTTCTGGTTGGTACCAAGGTGACATATGGGGTTAAGGTGGTCCTGAATAGAAAGGAGAAACCATCACAATGGGTTCTTGGAATGTTAGATCTGAAATGGCTCTTGAGAGAGGAGCGGTCCAACTCTGGATTTGTTAGGAATCTTGCTTACTTAATAATAGAAACCCATCTCCAACTGGCTAAAGCCAAAGGGGAACTAATCATAAGAAATCAAGAATAGAGATGCACCTAGGACTGAGGAACATACTAGATCCAGGGACCCTGGCACAGTCAGGCCCTACCTCTGTCTCTCTCTCCTCTCTTCTCTGCTCTTATTTATTTATTTATTATTTAATTAATTTTTTTGAGGAAGATTAGCCCTGAGCTAACATCTGCCACCAATCCTCCTCTTTTTGCTGAGGAAGACTGACCCTGAGCTAACAACCGTGCCCATCTTCCTCTACTTTATATGTGGGACGCTTGGCACAACATGACTTGATAAGTGGTGTGTAGGTCTGCACCCGGGATCCAAACTGGTGAGCCCTGGGCTGCCAAAGTGGAATGTGCGAAATTAACTGCTTTGCCATGGTACTAGTCCCTTCTCTGCTCCTCTTAATGCATCTGGGACCTGCTTTCTTCCCTTCTTACTCTACACTGCACAAAGCATGGTGGCAGACAACTCCAGGGAGTCACACGTTAGAGATTCTTTGGTCATCAGAGAGACTGGCCTCTTCTAGGTTCCAGTGTCAAAATTCCTGGTGGGGAGACTTAACTGACTCAGCTTTCATCAGATCAATCAAATAGCCAGTGTGTGTGTGTGTGTGTGTGTGTGTCAGTGTGAGAGAGAGAGATAGAGAGAGAGAGAGACTGTAATCACTGAGTGGATGTTGGGGATGGGATGGGCAGGAGGTAATGGTCACCATGCTACAGAGAAGCATTGCAAACAGAGATCCAGAGACAGAAAATGGCTCATCACCAGTCACACAGTCAGTTGCCAGCAGAGACAGGAGTGGACCGAGATCTTATGTGGCGAAGTCTATGGGTTCTTCAAAATCCAATACTGCCTCCTTTCAACAAAATTGTGATTTTATTGATACAATTTCCCATTTCAAGGCAAAAAAAATTTAACAAAAATCTAACCAGAAAATTCTGTAGCTCTTCCAGAAAAGGCAAATGGAGAAATGAACTATAAAGAGAAAGACATTATATAAATACTCAGGGTCTTTCCCAGTCCACAAACTAAATATTTTCATACCTTCCAGGGCTGGGGCCAAACGTATGTGTTTAAATGGTGAAGTAGACCAAGTAATTGGGAGGTGGAACAGTAGCTTGACAATCCCTACTTCACTGGGTTTTAGGTATGCTTTAATTAATTTGCCCTTCAATTTTATGAGGTAGGTATTAACTCCACTTTTCAGATGAGGATACCGACATTCAGCAAAGTTACCACCCAAGGTGATGAGAGAGCCAAGATTTCAATTCAACCTGAGTTTGTCCGATATCAGCGCCTATGAACGGTAACTATTATTAATCCACATAGACTGAATAGCGACGAATGAAAAACTCTTTGACATGACATTTCTGCAGGTTTCTGGGACAACCACGGAGCACCTGGGATTGCTCTTCCAAAAACAGCTGCCACTTTTTTGAGCAGTTGTTGTGTATCAGATACTGCACTAGGTTTATGATCTCATTTAATCCTTAGGACACCTTATGAGGATGGTACTATTGTATTATTATCTATTTTACAGGGTAGGAAGATTAGGCTTAATAAGCTCTTGCCTTTTCCTGAGTATCCTATGAATAAATTCCTATTAGTTAAATGCCTACTAAAGCGCTAAGTTAATAAACTAACAAAGCTCTTTTTAGATCAACTGGGCTGAAACTCTACCCGTGCGACGTTCCCATTCTCTGCCACGAGGTGACGTCACGACCAACTCCACCGCTACATTCTCCGCAGGGAGCCACGGTCGGTATCTCGCGAGAGCCGTGGTTTCCTCCAACCTCTTTTGGATATGCGCGGGGCGTAGGACGCTTCTATCAGGGTGGTCTGATGCCTTTTTGGCAGTCTTCCTAGACTAGCGCTTTAACAAGGCACTTACTGCCTTTCAGCCACCCGAGATCTCGCGAGACTTGCTACTCTGCTCCTCCCCCCCTCCTCCCCCTTGCGCCTGCGCACATCCCTTCAAAGCAGAAGGTCGCGCCTGGAGGAAGTGGCCGCTTTGGGTTCCGCGGCCGCAGCGCCATTACTACTTCTCTGAAGCTCCCCTCGGCCGCTTGCCGTGACACCCCGCCGCCAAGATGCCTCGAATTATGATCAAGGGGGGCGTGTGGAGGAATACCGAGGTAAGTCCCCTTTTCCCGCCGTCCGCTGCCTTCCGCCCCTTCTGGCAGCTTGTGCGCAGGCGCGCGGAGGTCGGGGAGGCGTGGAGGATGTGCCCTTTGGGGGCTGCGTTGGGGGGCAGCGCGGGGCCGACCCTCTGGGCCCTTACCTTGTGCCAGGCCTGGCGTTATCTGATCGCCTCCAGGACCAGGACCGTGGTTTAACCCCTGACTACGTGCCAGGCACTTGTTAGTCACGCCGTGGACATTTGTTGAATTGGGGACGCGCCCCCCGCCCTGGAGGAACTCAGTGTGGAGGGGGAACTAGGACATCAGCGAGAGTTGGTCTTTTGGGACATCCGTGTCCCTCAGCCCGGGCGCCGTGCCAGTCTCTCATACTCAAAAATAAAGAAGTGCTGTGGCCACAACTTTGTTTCTTCATTGACTTTCTTGTAGAGGGGAAGCAGTTTCAGTTCCAGCTTCACCGAGCCCGTTTCTGCCCCCATCTCTCGGTTATCTGTTATCAAGGCATAATTTGTCTGCCTTCCTGACAGATCCCGGGGCCTGTCTCTTCCTGCCCCTCCGCCTCAGCCTGGTTAGAAGCCAGATAGGACAAACTGCTTACCGTAGTCTCTTTGCTTCCAGAAATGTAGTGGATAATGCCAGTCGTGAGCCAAAGGGCAGAAGAGAGGGGGCAAAATAGAAATAAGATTTTAGTGCCTTTTGTGTTCACAGTGTGCTGAATTTGTTGGTTTCCGGAGCACATCATTATCTTTCCATGCTCTGTCTTTTTACATCTTGTGCTTTCTTGGAATATTCTCCTACTGCTTGGTATCTTTCTCACCATCCTTCAAAACCCAGTTCAGAAACACTGTTTGGAATTTTTGCCCATTTGCCCTGTTGGAATTATTTGCACCCCCAGGGGTCCCATGGCACCTCTATCATCCATTTGTTATAGCTTACTTTGTCCTTTTGCAAGCATCACATCCTTCTCTGTGGTGCTGGTAAGTTTCTAATAACCTCTCAGAGCTTCAGTTTTCTTATTTTTGTAATGGGGATGATACTACCTACCTCTCTTGAGGATTAAATGAGTCAGTACATTTGGAACATTTAGAACGGAGTCTGGCATGTAGTAGTCTTTCAGTAAGTGCTAATTGCTGTTTCTTTCCCCCAGCAGACAGCATTGCAGTTGGTATCCTTAGAACCTAGGACAGTAACCAACATGAAGTAGGTTGCCTAGCAAATGTGTGCTGAATGAATCTAGCAGGGTAGATAACTGCTGTGTATGCTTAGTTGAAGACGTGTTTAAGTATAGCAGTACTGCCACAAAGTTACAAATAAAGTCCACGGCAGCCTTGCCTCGCAGTTTGCACAGAGGGAAACAGGCTATTTGAATTGGAGAAGAGATGACTTCTGGGGGAGAGACAGATGTACAAGAGCAAGTAACAGCAGGATTCCTATGCAGTGGCAGAAGCCTTGCAGTCTTTTTAAATCTCTGATGATGGGGACACGGGTGGTGGTGGAGTGGCCCATGTATGAATGAGCCATGTAGCACAAGTTCATTGTGGAAAAAAGCCTAAGAGTAAAATGCCCCCGGTGCATTCATCTATGGCTCTCTTATGCCTGGAGTCTGTGGCTTAGCTTGCCAGGCTTCCCTGGGAATGTTGAATTCTGTATCGGAATGGGTGCCCTGGTGGAATAGTATCTGGAGACTGGGGGAGACTGGAGGCAGAAGTGACTGGTGAGGTGGGGGAGACCTGAGATGCTGATTCTTGGGTCAGAGCAAGGGTTATAGGACTAGAGAGAAAATGCCATTTGTAAACTGGAGACAGGAAACCTGGATTGGAGAATAGATTCACCATACTCTTGACTTGCTTCTTGAGGGCTGGCTGTGGCCTTTTCGATTCTCTTTCCCTAAGTACTCATGACCTGGTACAAGGTAGGTGTTTGGGAAATGTTTTCTGAATGAATGAGTAAATGAATGAGCTGTACCCTTTTCAAAAGAATGATGGCTATGCATTGGAGAATACTTTTTGTTAAGCCCTATCAAGTAGAGTTTCTCAGATTGGGCTGTACCCACTCCCAATTTATTGGGGCGGGGGGGGGTGTTGTGTGTAACGGAGGGTATGATGTCCTTCTAAGGGATTTCCTCTTAATTTCTTGTATTTTGCTGATTCTGGCTTGCTGTTTATTATTATAGTAAATGAAGTATTTCTTCTTTTTTTTAACCTACAGTATGTGTGTGGGTGTTTATGTCTCTCTCTTTCTCCCTAGCAACCCTGTCAGAGTTAATTTAAATTTTGTCTTTTCTCAGTTGGAGTTTCGTGATTGAATATACTGTTTTTCTTTGACACTTTTTTTTAGGATGAAATTCTGAAAGCAGCGGTAATGAAATATGGGAAAAACCAGTGGTCTAGGATTGCCTCATTGCTGCATAGAAAATCAGCAAAGCAGTGCAAAGCCAGATGGTATGTACCAGTTAATGAGTGGAAAACAGTAAATGACCTTAATTATGATGAAGAAAATGTCAGTTCTTTGAACCTTAGCAAAGAAAGCAGGCGTTGTGATATAACAGAAAGTATGGAGTGGGAGGTGGGAATTTAGATTTAAGACTTAGCTGTCACTTGCTTCCTGTGTGATCTTAGGCAAGCCATTTTTCTATCCCCTCCATCCTGCCCCAGTTTTCTCCTAGTTAGAGATAATAGTGCTGGGTGCTGACTGATGGAGGTACGAGGCTCAAATGAGTTAATGTGTCTGAGAGTGCATGATCAAGCATAAAATAAATCTACTTTTAGGGATGGTGGGATCCCAGCTTATAAATGGATGTGTTCCAAAAGTTTATAAGTTGGTTGTTTTAGAATTTACTTTCCCAAAGAAATAGATGGTAAATAGTGGTTAATTTTCTAGGCCAGCTCACAGTAGTTGAGTTTCCTCATTAATACAGTTGAAATATTTTATATGTGATACCTCACAATATAACGTAAGCCAACACTACACCTGTTCTTTCCTCTTTTAAGTCACAGGATAGTGGACACGTTAAGCTCTTTACCTGTGTTTTTGCTGAGTGATCTGGCGCCAGCCCTGACCCATGTAGTACTAGAATCTTATTTTGGATTGAACAAGAGTGACCTAATTTCCTAGGCACCGGGGTAGGGGAGAGGATCGGAATGTAGGGATTGGACCCCAGAGAGGAAGATGGTCCTCGGCGTGAAGAAGTGGTTCTGATTTCTGCCTTTCTTAGTGGAGCTGAGCTCCTGCCCCAGTGTTCGGGAGTGCTTGAATCTTGTTTGCCAGCCTCATCCAGCTGAGTAGACTGGATGGAAAAGATGGGTTGGGTGGGGCATTAGGAAAGACAGAGGATGACATAGTAGTTTTATTTAAATTTAAAAACACACCAAACAAAAGGATATGATACTGAAAAGCATTTAGTGAGTGTAAGTCGGATGCTTAAGGAAGTAAGCCAAGGTGTTGTGAGAATCAAATCAAAGTGGGAGAAAGTGCTGTGAAAACCAGAAACACTATAAAAATGTGAGGTGGTATTGTCTTATTTGCAGATAATTTCAAAACCTCCAGTAAAGTGTAAAATAAATGAAAACAATTGATATTTGGGAAAGAAGGCATATGATCATGTCTCAGTCAAGTTACCTTTTTAAGTATCACTAACCTTGCATGATTAAAATACATTAGAATTTGGTGGGATGGGGAATATTGAATGGGGTGAGTTTAACCAAGCAGTGAATATTCAGTTGTAAAAAATAGCAGCTTTTGTAATTGAAGGATGAGTTAGCTTGTATTTTTTAGACACTAGAAGTCAGTGTCTCTAATGTGTAAATGGGATATTCATGCTAGGTGATTGATTAATGTATAAAGTGGTATCTTTTTAATAGGTATGAGTGGCTGGATCCAAGCATTAAGAAAACAGAATGGTCCAGAGAAGAAGAGGAAAAACTATTGCACTTGGCCAAGTTGATGCCAACTCAGTGGAGGACCATTGCTCCAATCATTGGGAGAACAGCTGCTCAGTGCCTGGAACACTATGAATTTCTTCTGTAAGTGAATCTCCAAAAGCAGTATTAAAATGTGTGTATATCTTCTCAATGAGGCTGAATAAACTTTTAGCATTTTTTGTCTTTAAACATGTAGTTGCAGATCTGAGTAAAGCCAGAAGAGCCGAAGCTATTGGATTATATACTCCTAATTTCCTGTGGTTGATCAGAATTATGTCTTCTGTTATATACTTTTTAAGAGAATAATTTAGAAATGTTATAAAATTATACATGTCCATCATAGCACAGCTGAGAAAAAAATAATAAAAAAGCAAATAAAAATCACTCCTAGTTGTCCTCCTGAAGTTGACCATCAGAAGATCTTGGTTCTTTACTAAAAGTTCTTTTATTTGTATGGCTCTACTGCATTTGTGATTAAGGAGCTGCTTGGATCCTGTTTCATGGTGAATGGAAACACTGAAATTAGAATTTTAATACCATCTCTTTCAGGTGAAGCAGTAGTAGAAATGCAATATTTTGTTAATGCCCATCCATTGAGCTTGAAAGAAAAGAGTGCCAGCACTGGGAAACCTACTGTTTCTAAGACTAGCTGGTGTTTTTCTAAGACTAACTCCTCTGGGCTCTCCTCTAGAGATAAAGCTGCCCAAAGAGACAATGAAGAGGAAACAACGGATGATCCACGAAAACTAAAACCTGGAGAAATAGATCCAAATCCAGAAACAAAACCAGCACGGCCTGATCCAATTGATATGGACGAGGGTAGGTGTATGCTTGTGAGAAATTTATTTCTTTGGTAATCATAGACTCCTCAAGCCTCTTTGAACGCTTTCAGTTCCTTTCTCAACTCCTCTGGCTTTTTAGAACCCCAGTTCTGTCTGCAGTTGCTGTTCTTAGGCTCTTTCTAAACGTGTCCAGTCTTCTGTTATAGAGGAATTGGTCTTTTTGGACGGTGTCCCTTCATCTTCTGATTTTTCAATTCCTTTAATAAATTAAGCAGTGTAAAACTACCGGGTAGATTTCCTAGAGGCTAGAGGTAAACCCTTGAGGATTCTGTATTCTTGTTCCTGTTCTTCAGAGAGAGACAACAAGTCGGGATTTTGCGCTCCAGTCCTCCTGTTAACTACTACTTTGACTTTAGGCAGGTAATTTAATCTTTGTGAAGAGGCAGCACCACAGTACTGTGATGGAGACTTACGATGCCTCTTTGAGACGCTGAATCAGGAATCAGAGGAACTGGATTTTAGACCCTCTCTGCCACTTACTGGCTATCTCGCCTTAGGCAAGTCATATAAATCTCTCTGAGCTTTGATTCTCTTTCCTACCAGATGGAGAAGAATAATATTTATCTTACCTCACGGGGTTGTTGTGAAGCATTCAGTGAATATTTTTTGAGTTTTTAAAATTTAAAAGTTTGAACATAGTGGTTCCCAAGGGTAGACTGTGGCTAGGCTGCATCATTGTCACATGGTAAACATTTGAAAATACAGGTACCAGAGCCTCCCTAGGAAATCTGAGTCCGTCAGTTGGGGAGTGGGGAGGTAATCCTGGAATCTGAGTTTTTTAGAAAGTTCCCTTTTGATTCCGTTGGACAGCCTTGTATAGGAACAGGCATCAGAAATGAAATTTATTCTACTCTGGCGAGTCATGGAAAATATATTAGAGGGAGAGAAATAGTTTTGAGGAAAAAAAGTGTATTTACTGAAGATTATCAATTCCCTTATAATTATATAGTAGTTTTTATATTATTTCACAATTTGTGCTGTGCCAGTTAGTTGATGAAAATGAAGGATATGGTGATTATAGCCACTGTTTAATGAATACCTGCTAGATGTTTTACTTATTTCGTTTTACTTAGCTCTTCTCAACATCCCTATAAAGTAGGAGTTGTTATTCCCATTTTATAGATGATGAAAAATACTCGGGGAGGGTAAAATAAGTTATCCAGGGTCACATAGCTAGCAAGTGGTGGACCTGGCTTTTACCTTAGGTTGCTCTGACTTCAAAATGCAAGCTGTTTCCTTTATGCTACACCATATAATTGTATTTATGGTTTTTCTCATCTTAAGCACTAGGGGATGTGTCTCACATACCTTGCTTCTGCTGGAGGAGAACTTAGTTTTTCTTCTCTTTATTTTTGCAGATGAACTTGAGATGCTTTCTGAAGCTAGAGCCCGCCTGGCTAATACTCAGGGAAAGAAAGCCAAGAGGAAAGCAAGAGAGAAACAGTTGGAAGAAGCAAGGTATGCTTGTTTCCATCCATAGGTGAGTGATTAGTCTCTGCATCCTCAGGCCCAGTAGAACTGCATGATTTATCAACCCTGTTGGGTGAGTAATAATTAGAATTGCGTAACTCCAATTTTGCTGATATTCTTAATTTCTTTATTACTTTGGAAAAGTCTTAGATATTTTTCTCCCTAACCATTTCAGAATAGTTACGGAAAAAAAATACATATTTCAAAAAATTTTGTAAGACATGGCAGAAGTAATACCTAGATGTTTCATGTGGTATGTTGGATTTGTTCTGTTAGCGTGAGAGCTTCATCTGTTTTAGCCGTCTTAGAGTCAGATGGCTACAGGACACACAAGGCCGTGTGACTTTTATGTGACTGCCGATTACTCACTCTCCTTGATTAGTCTTGGGCAGGCGCGGGCTGTGAAACAGGAAACTCAGCTGAACGTAGAGGGGGTTAATAATGAGCCTTGAACCAAATTTTAGGCTCTCATAGAAATTTTCATTTAAAAAGTGAGTGGACTTCAGTATTGCCTTCTGCTCAAGGTTTTCTTCACTTTCCTCTTCTTTTTCCCTTTTGGTTGGATTCATGATTGATGACATTCCTAATGGCCCAGAAACCAAGATGAAGCGGATAAAAGTGAAAACCTGAACTGTATAAGAGCTTATTAGCTTTTGGAATTCAGGCATTTTGGAATAACTTCTCTAGCCACGCAGCTGCCATTTCTGGTCCCAGAGTTGGGAAGTGCTTCCTGACCTGATGACTAGCATTGTGTTGATGGTTTCCCCAGTAATAGCTTTGGAGTGCCAGATCCTGGGACGGAGGATTCTTTCATGCCTGAGGATGCTTGTTGGCATAGCTGGCCAATCGCTAGCCCAGAATAGTTACTTATGATGGGAATATGACTGGCCTGAGACAGTAAACAAACCAAAAGGAGGTACTAAATTTTCTTTCCAGTCTCAGTCACCTTTCTATTCTCTACACTATTTATGGTTAAGTAATGTGAGTAAGGTTGAAAAAAATTCACTTTTCCATTTTCATCCGTGGTGGTTTCGGGACCAAATTTTTTTACCTTTTTAGCCATGTGGATTGGGCCATGGATGTAGCAAGTGTGTATATGAAAAATCTCCAAGTGTGGCTGATGTTGCTTGCTTTAAATAAATTTTTGCAGATTTAAATTTACCCTGCACTTTGTTTTAGATTTTCTTGTAGAATCTATACATCTCTATAACTTGTGTTGTACACGTGTCTTGTAATAGACTAGATTGGTCTGTATGTAAAATGCAATGCAGGCCTATTTACTTTGAATGCTAAATTACAGATCCGTTTTATAACAAAGCTAGTACCCTTTTCCTTTGGTGGTGTACTATTTTTTTCTGGGAGCATGGTTGATATAATGCTATATGTAGCTTGGTTATACTCATTTAGCATTGTATTGTAAAGGTTTTCTAATGTCGTTTGAAGTCGTCATTTCCTTTATTTGAAGAATGAAATTACTTTACTTTTGAAATATCTTCCTAAACCTTCCTCTCTCTCAGTGTAGATGTACATTTTTGTGTGTGTACACACACAGTCACATTTGTCTAAAATTGGATCATACTGTATATACTGTTTTGATGAGAAGTTAGCTGTTAATCTTATTGGGGTTCCCTTGTAAGTGATGAGTCATTTTTCTCTTGCTGCTTTCAAGATTTTCTCCTTGTCTTTGGCTTTCAGCATCTTTAATATGATATTTCTGGTTGTCAACTTCTTTATGTTTATCTTACTTGGAGTTCGTTGAACTTCCTGGATGTGTAGGTTAATGGTTTTCGATAAATTTGAGAAATTTCAACCATTATTTCTTCAAATATTTTATTCTCCTTTGCTTTTGCTATTCCTGTTGTGCATATGTTCACTTAATGACATTCCACGTTCTGTGAGGCTATGTTCATATTCATTCTTTTTTTCTCTTTGGATTCCGTAATCTTTATCCATCTGTCCTCAACTTTGGTAATTCTTCTGTCAGTTTGAATCTCTTGTTGGGCCCCTCTAGTGAAGTTTTCGTTCCAGGTTTCTACTTTTCAACTCCAGAATTTCTATTTGGTTCTTTTTAATCATTTCCATCTCTTTATTGATTGTCTCTATTTGATGCACATTTCCATCATGATTTCTTTTGTTCTTTGAACATGTTTATAATGGCTCCTTTGAAGTCTGTTAAATCTGACATCTGGTTGCTCACAGGCATTTTCTGTTTTTTTTTTCTGGTGTGTAGGTCCTGCTTTCTTGTTTGCTTGCATGTCTCAGAGTTTTTTTGGGAACTGGACACTTTAGGTGGTATATTCTAGCAGTTCTGGGTGTTATTGTTATTGTTACTTGCTTGTTTACTTGTTTAGTGACTGGCTGGATTATTTTAGTGGTCTATTCCCCCTTTCCCTCCCCCCCAGAAATGCGAAGCCTCTGATGTTGCTCCTCATGGGGGCTCAGTCTTCGGTATGCCCAGTCACCCCGGGATGCTGTGGTTTTGACAGGACTTTTTTTGACATCTTTTTCCCTGGCTGCACCCAGCTGTTAAACTACTAATTGCCAGCTGATTGCTGTATTGTTTTCAACGATGTCTTGGGGCGTAAATTGCTCCACAAGCTGATCCAGTCAAATTGGGGCTCCTTTGAAGGGGTAGTTCTGAGATCCGTGTTTGATACCCCAGGAGGGCTCCTCTCACTTTTCTCTTCATTTGTTTCTCTCTGGCAACAGTTTAGCCTATATCTCCAATGAATCTATCGGTTTCTTCCCGTTTTCCTTTCACCACAACTTCCATTGTTTTTGAGAGTGCCCTTAGGCTTGAACTTCTCCATACTCTTTTGCAAATGAAGGCAGTTTCTTTGGGGCGAGATTTGGAGTTTTCTCTTGTACCCCTAGGCTCTGATGTGCTTGTCTCTAAGTGACACCCCTACTTTAGGAGCTGAGTGCTTGGTCGGGGAGGTGGTGGTGTGGGCAGCAGCCCCACGTCTCCTTGGCTTGCCTCACCTGCATGGAACCCTCATCCCACAAGCTGGGGCAAATGATTTTGGGGCTCCAGTATGCTCAGCAGCACTGTGCCCGAGACAGAGCCTCTGTCTGGGCAGAAGAAAGGCCCTCCTTGTGGGCCACTCTTCACCTGTGCAGCAGGTGTCTGGAGATAGGCTGAGAAATGCTGACGTCCTGCCTCTCCTGGCTGAAAGCCCTCCTGGGAGCTGGAGGCAGAGAGAGCCCTGTGTTCTTGGCTGCACCAGGGGGAGTGGAATTTCTGACTCTGAGCAGGGAGGGGGAAGAGGAGAGGGAATGGGTCTTGATTCAAATATCGCAGGCTCTCACTTGTCTCACCGAATTTTAGTAGATTTTCTTGAATAAATGTTTCTTCATTTGCTGTATCTCCTTAGGGTCCTTTCTAGAGACTTAATTTTTTTAACTAATTTTCAGGAGTTTCATTGAGGAGTGGGTCTGCAGAGCCTCATGCTGGAAGTTGCTCCTTTATACTGTTTTTTAACTTGGTTTTCCCTCCTTTAATATTGTGAATAACTTTTCTCATCATTAAATCTTTAAGATTATGGCATCATGGGATGGTACAAAGAAAAAAGTAAAAACTAAATGAAATTCCCACCTCCAGTGATGATCCCTGTTCGTATTTTGGTGGTTGTCCTTTATGTCTCCCCATGCATGTCTTCACTGGTAGATATGCATGTAATTTTTACATGTTGCTCTGTAACATGTAAACTTTGTAATATTTTTTACGTAGCAGCATGTTTTGAGTATTTCTCCACATCAGAGCAGATTTACAGGTTTTTTGAAGGTTACGTGGATGGCTGTATAGCGTCCTCCCTTGTAGCTGTGTTGTAAATTCTCTTAACTGATTTCTTTTTGGATGGTTAGGTTGTGTTCAGTTATCCGCTCTTAGGACAGTGCTCCGTGAACAGTCTTGTAGCTAAGGCCTTATTCACGTTCCTTTTTATCTCCTCAGGCTGAGGGCTGAGGAGTGAAATCACTGGGTTAAAAATGTGAAAAACTTTATTATATTTTCAAATTCTCTTTGGGGAAAGCTGTAGTAGTTTACTTTCTCATTACTGTTGTGGGAGACTGTCCACTTTTTGTACCCTTGCCATTGAAACAAACTGAACACTGTTAATTAGATATGCAGAATTGTACCTGATTTAATTTGTGATTCTTTAGTTATTACGTCCACCTTTTGTTATTTTAGTTTTTTGCATTTTTTTTCCTTAGTGGATGTTTCTTTCCTTTTGTTCCTTTTTTTCCTTGGGATTCATTTTTTAAAAACTTGCATAGATTCTTTTTATCTAGCTGTTCCTAATATTAATTTCAATTGTTTTTTCTGTTACTTGCCTTTTAATTTTGTCTTATGATTCTTTAAAAAATAGTGCTACAGAGATATAAAATTTAAAATTCAAAGCTGTTGGGCTGGCCCTGTGGCTGAGTGGTTAAGTTCATGTGCTCCACTTCAGCAGCCTAGGGTTTTGCCAGTTTGGATCCTGGGTGTGGACCTAGCACCGCTCATCAAGTCATGCTGAGGCAGCGTCCTACATAGCACAACCAGAGGGACCTGCAACTAGAACATACAACTATGTACTGGGGGGCTTTGGGGAGAAGAAGAAAAAAAAAAAAGATTGGCAACAGATGTTAGCTCAGGTGCCAGTCTTGAAAAAAAAATGCAAAGCTGTTTATCTTTTCCTTTGCCTTTAGTTTGTATTAAGTATGGTCCCATCCAGAGATAAGATACATAATTACTTAGAGCTCCTTCTAGTTTTTCTTTTTGCTTTATTGAGTGTGTATCTTTAAATCAAAACTAGAATTTATTTTAGTGAATGGTGTGAAGTGGGAATTTAAGTAAATATTTCTTCCCCAAATAACCACATAGTTTTCTTAACTCAGTTGGATGATCCATCCCTTCCCCATGGTGTGTGATTTTCAAGGTGACCCTGTGTTCTTTTTCTTTAGGCGTCTTGCTGCCCTCCAGAAGAGACGGGAACTGCGAGCAGCTGGCATAGAAATTCAGAAGAAGAGAAAAAAGAAGAGAGGAGTTGATTATAATGCTGAAATCCCATTTGAAAAAAAGCCTGCTCTTGGTTTCTATGATACTTCTGAGGAAAACTACCAGGCTCTTGATGCAGATTTCAGAAAACTAAGACAACAGGATCTTGATGGAGAGCTGAGATCGTAAGTTGCCTCTCTGATTTTGGAAATGGGAAAGTATAGTAGGAATTTTATGGAGGGCCAGGTATTATCCTTGTCCGAGCCAGATTTGTACGAAGCACAATGTGGCCTACATGACACTTGTTTTTATTTAATGGATTCACCTTTCTGAGAAAACTAGTGACCCTGGCTGTCATGTTGTTAGCACAGAATGCTCTTTGCATCTCTTGAAATGTTGGCACTTGGTTCTTAGTGAACTGCCTACTCACTTGAGTCACAATTTAATATTTATGTACATTTGTGAATAGATTAGTTGTTTTACTAATGGCCTGAAGGAATTTGTCAAAATCTGGTTTGGTTTGTTTAGTCTTTTCTGGTGAAAATTTTATCTTGTTTTTCTTAAAATGAAATTCAAAGAAAAAAATTACTGATGCATTCTTAAATCTTTTTTACTTAATGGGGATAAGTAGGTATATTTATAAAATGTTTGTGTTAGGGTACAGAGGATTTTGCCTAATTTTAGGGATTTTTAGACTTTCTTTAGTTTTCATATTGGGATATTATGGGGAGAACCATTTATGATTGTCAGATTTTTAGTTTTCTTCTCCCTGATTGACCTTCCATTTCTGTTGATATGAATTGTCACTGAACAACAGATGTCAGCCTCTGAACAGGATTTTCTTGGATGTACTACATTGTATATATTTCTCAAATTAGGACTTTGCTTTAGGTAGCCTGTGCAAACAGAGATTGAAGATGAAGCCGAATCTTGTGGAAGGAGTCGGCTAGGTGGGGGAAGAGGATGACATGCGAGGGGGAGGAGGTGTTCCCGGAGCGTTAAAAGACAGCTTAGAGCTTGGCTTTAGACTTCCTAACAACTTTTTAGTGTCATTTGTCAGCACTTAAGTATCCTTTTAAAAAAATTTGTGAATTAAAAACATAACAGATAGTGGAATAACAGCTTCCAAGGGAAATTAAAAAATTCGCAATGTTTTAATTCTGTCCCCTTCATGTATTTGTTTCCCATTTTGTATACTGTGTATTTGTATATTTGTTTTCCCTCTTGTATACTGGTCTTCATCATGTTCCTATGTGTGTACATATTTTTATATAAATATAAGCATGATATAGGAATAGTTTTTTGTTTTTATTTGACATTATATGTAACATTTTGCTTATCATCATACCCTTTATAGTTAGATAATCTTAACACTTAGTATTTCAATTGCTGAGTATATCCTATTTTCTTAATAATTCTATTGCTGTTCTGAGTCTGCGTTCCCCTTGAATATAGTGGGTAGGTAATGGCATAGGGAATAAGTTAATATATATAGTTGTTGTCTTTTTGTTAGTAATTTTATTAGGAATGGGATTATTTTGTTCAAGTGTATGAGTATGTATATGGCTTTTAATGTCATTGCTTGTATATAACTGCTAAAAATGTCTTCTCTACTTGACCCATGACAGTGAAAAAGAAGGAAGAGATAGAAAAAAAGACAAGCAGCATTTGAAAAGGAAAAAAGAATCTGATTTACCATCAGCTATTCTTCAAACTAGTGGTGTTTCTGAATTTACTAAAAAGAGAAGCAAACTAGTACTTCCTGCCCCTCAGGTAATCAGATAAAAGCAGTTTTTTCATTGTGTGAACTCATCTGCTTATCATTTATTTGGCAGTGTTTGCAGGCCTGCGTGCCAGGCTTTTGCTAGGTGCTGGGTGCCCTTAAGAAAGTAACAGCGTAATAGATGAGCCACATAAAAATAAGTCATGTGATGTAGTGTGATAAATAAGCAACAGCTTCTCTGTGTAAGTTATTATATCAGGCCTTAAACTGCTGATTGATGGTTTAGTGAGTGATTGTCAGCTCTTAGCAATTTGTCGGCAGGTTAGGGCTCGGGGCCACTTTTTTGTAGTGACCAGGAAAAAGGTGTTGTTTGGCTTGTGGACTTCAGGCTGCTTTCTTTTAGGGGATTCTTTGTTGTGGCATCCTTCTCTTTGAGACAATAGCTGTGAGAATCACCGTGGGAGTTGCAGAGAAGAGAGAGAGAAACATTCCCTCATTCAGCTTATCTTAGGCTCTGCTCCTTTGACTTAATTATAGTTGGTCAGAAACATGGAATTTTCGATAAGCTCTTGCTTTGTTTTGAGTAGTACGCTCTGTAGAACTAGACAGTTTAATGGAGCAGAAGGATGGGCTTAGGCCAGAGGAGCTTCTTTCCCCGTAGAGAACACTGGCTGTGTCAACTCTTGGGTACAAACAAAATGATTGTGTCAGATGCTGCCATTCCTAGTAGTGATATTTCTTTTTTTTTTACGATTTTATTTTTCCTTTTTCTCCCAAAGCCCCCCAGTACATAGTTGTGTATTTTTAGTTGTGTGTCCTTTTAGTTGTGGCATGTGGGATGCTGCCTCAGCGTGGCTTGATGAGCAATGCCTTGTCTGTACCCAGGATTCCAACCAGCGAAACGCTGGGCCTCCGAAGCAGAGCGCGAGAACTTAACCACTTGGCCACGGGGCCGGCCCCCAGTAGTGATATTTCTTAAATTGAGATTTTGCCTGTAATTTTTTTTCTTAGTACTCCTTAGGATATTTATTTTAGTAAAATTACTAAGACAACATCTTTTGGTTTTCTTCAGAATCTTGTGGCCTAGGAGACCCTCTCTGTGTGATATTTTAATTGGTTTTCAATCATCCCCTCTACCCCTCATTGATAGGTAGTTTTGTACAAACACTGTTATTTCATGTCTTGCTATATTGATATATTGGTTGATTTGAAAGAATTTCAGTATAGGAATACAAGACTTCACAGCTTGATACTATATCATATGTGGAATTTCCCCCTTACATTATATAGGGAAGACTTTTAAAAACTTTATTGTGGATATTTTCAAACCTGCAAGAAGTAAAGAGAGTAGTACAATGAACCCCTTTGTACTTATCATACAGCTCCAGTGGTTCATTTTCTGGAATATGGAAGTCTTAAGCTGTGTTGTTCTCTGGTTAAAATATTGCTTACTGAGATAATTGTGTCTTTCTAGATTTCAGATGCAGAACTTCAGGAAGTTGTAAAAGTAGGCCAAGCAAGTGAAATTGCACGTCAAACTGCCGAGGAATCTGGCATAACAAACTCTGCTTCGAGTACTCTTTTGTCTGAGTACAACGTCACCAACAACAGCATTGCTCTTAGAACGCCACGAACACCAGCTTCCCAGGACAGAATTCTGCAGGTAAGCTGTCATAGTGGAATGAGCCTTTCACTTTATTGTCCTTAAAAGTATTACGAAAGAGAGCACGAAGTGGTTTGGTTTTGTTTCTTTTAGTGTAGACAGTTTGAAACTGAGTCCCCAGCGCATAGGTCCTAGAGATTTCTGTAGTAGGGAAGCTAAATCAGCAGATTCAGTAATTAGGTGGTTTCTTTTCTACACTTATTAATTCATAGTTTTTTTTGAAGCCAGCCCTTCTGCTTTCATTAGTCTTTAGTACCTGTCAGTAAAGCATAGCGTTTAAAAATTTCACGTTGCCTAGCAATCCTGGACAGAAATCAGACATGTAGTCAGTAATTTTTAAAACTTCCTTGCATTTCCGTACGTAGCTCGGCATAGGCTGTCATCAGTCCTGCTTCCCACCTTCTCCTTTACACTCGGGGGGTACACTCTGTTCCTAGTGTGTCTGCATGCTGGAGGATAGCCAAACCTAAGAAAATGCTGTTGAGTCCCTTAGCAGCCTCACGTCTCGTTTCCTCTTCTCTGATAGTTAGGATATAATTTTAAGGTCTTGATTCAGGAGTCAAATAATCCTGTAAGGTTTAGTAAGAAAAATAATCGTGCCCCTCATCACTTGCTCTCTAGAAGCACCACTTACAGCTCTTTGTTTTTATCCTTATTGCTAAGATACTTGTTGCATGTTTGTTGATTTTTTTCAGTTGTAGGCATTATTCCACCTAGAATTTGAATATTTGGCTCTCTCACACACTCTGCCTCTATCATGCATTATGCTCTTTCCATTTCCCCATCTTCCATTATAGTATATATATCAAACTTCCATTATAGTTTGGTTAGCTCCATATTCATGATTTACTTTATGACTGTAAACCGTATTCATTGCTGAGCCACAAAGTACCTTATAATTACTTGATTCTACAGTATTTTGTTTGTCTTTGAGTTAATACTTGTTTTATCCAGTTGCTAAATTTTCTGATTACTTAGCACTAATTCAACTCTAGACTTAGACTCACTATGTAAATCTCCTGAAATCTGGTCAAATTTTAGGTATTCTCATCTTTTTGAAGAAGTCTTTCCCAGAACTTCTGAATGTTCTAGTCTGGACTGATTACTCTTTAGATCTTGTTTATAGCAAGAAACTTGTTTACAGCAAGTAGTTGTTTACGTCTTTTGGTGTCTCTTCACTGTCACCCTGGAAAGTCCCTTGGATCACCTCTTTCTTTGTTTACTTCCTTGTTAGTGAAGTGGGTCTTTCAGTAGCTTTCTAAGGAAGGGTTCATGGGAGATGGAATTTTTAAGACATTGTATATCTGTAAATTACTGTCTACCCTCTTATTTGATTAATAGTATAACTGGGTATAGAATTCCAAGTTGAAATTGTTTTTGTTCAGTTTTTTTTTTAATTTTTATTATTATTTTTTGTTAAGATTATGATAGATTACAACCTTGTGAGATTTCAGTTGTACATTATGTTATGGGTACACCACTTCACCCTTTGTGCCCTCCCCCCACTCCCCCTTTTCCGTGGTAACCACTGATCAGTTCTCCTTGTCTATATGTTAACTTCCACCTATAAGTGGAGTCATATAGAGTTCGTCTTTCTCTGTCTGGCTTATTTCGCTTAACATAATACCCTCAAGGTCCATCCATGTTGATGCGAATGGAACAATTTGGTCGTTTTTTATGGCTGAGTAGTATTTCCATTGTGTATATATACCATATCTTCTTTATCCAGTCATCAGTTTCTGGGCATTTAGGTTGGTTCCACGTCTTGGCTATTGTAAATAATGCTGCGATGAACATAGGGGTGCATGGGACTCTTGGGATTGCTGATTTCAGGTTCTTAGGATAGATAGCCAGGAGTGGGATGGCTGGGTCATAGGGTATTTCTATTTTTAACTTTTTGAGATATCTCCATACTGTTTTCCATAGTGGCACTAGTTTGCATTCCCACCAACAGTGTATGAGGGTTCTTTTTTCTCCACAACCTCTCCAACATTTGTCACTCTTGGTTTTGGATATTTTTGCCAATCTAATGGGTGTAAGGTGGTATCTTAGTGTAGTTTTGATTTGCATTTCCCTGATGATTAGTGATGATGAGCATCTTTCATGTGTCTATTGGCCATACTTATATCTTCTTTGGAGAAATGTCTGTTCATGTCCTCTGCCCATTTTTTGATCGGATTGTTTGTTTTTTTGTTGTTAAGCTGTGTGAGTTCTTTGTATATTATGGAGATTAATCCTTTGTTGGATAAGTAGCTTGTAAATATTTTTTCCCAATTAGTGGGCTGTTTTTTTGTTTCAATGCTGTTTTCCCTTGCCTTGAAGAAACTCTTTAGTCTGATGAAGTCCCATTTGTTTATTCTTTCTATTGTTTCCCTCATCTGAGGAGTTATGGTGTCCAAAAAGATTCTTTTGAAACTGATGTCAAAGAGTGTACTGCCTATATTCTCTTCTAGAAGACTTATTGTTTCAGGCCTAATCTTTAGGTCTTTGATCCATTTTGAGTTTATTTTTGTGAATGGTGAAAAAGAATGGTCAATTTTCATTCTTTTACATGTGGCTGCCCAGTTTTCCCAGCACCATTTGTTGAAGAGACTTTCTTTTCTCCATTGTAGGCCTTCAACTCCTTTGTCAAAGATTAGCTGTCCATAGATGTGTGGTTTTATCTCTAGGCTTTCAATTCTGTTCCATTGATCTGTGCCCCTGTTTTTGTACCAGTACCATGCTGTTTTGATCACTGTAGCTTTGTAGTATGTTTTGAAATCGGGGATTGTGATGCCTCCGGCTTTGTTTTTCTTACTCAGAATTGCTTTAGCAATTCGCGGTCTTTTGTTGCCCCATATGAATTTTAGGATTCTTTGTTCGATTTCTGTAAAGAATGTCCTTGGGATTCTGATTGGGATAGTGTTGAACCTGTAGATTGCTTTAGGTAGTATGGACATTTTAACTATGTTTATTCTTCCAATCCATGTGCATGGAATGTCTTTCCATCTCTTTATGTCATCGTCAGTTTCTTTCAAGAAAGTCTTGTAGTTTTCATTGTATAAATCTTTCACTTCCTTGGTTAAATTTATCCCAAGGTATTTTATTCTTTTTGTTGCGATTGTGAATGGGATTGAGTTCTTGAGTTCTTTTTCTGTTAGTTCATTGTTAGTGTATAGAAATGCTACTGATTTATGTATGTTCATTTTATACCCTGCAACTTTGCTGTAGCTGTTGATTGTTTCTAATAGTTTTCCTAAGGATTCTTTGGGGTTTTCTATATATAGGATCATGTTGTCTGCAAACAGCGAGAGTTTTACTTCTTCATTGCCTATTTGGATTCCTTTTATTTCTTTTTCCTGCCTAATTGCTCTGGCCAACACCTCCAGTACTATGTTGAATAGGAGTGTTGAAAGTGGGCACCCTTGTCTTGTTCCTGTCCTCAGAGGGATGGCTTTCAGTTTTTGTCCGTTGAGTATGATGTTGGCTGTGGGTTTGTCATATATGGCCTTTATTATGTTGAGGTACTTTCCTTCTATACCCATTTTATTGAGAGTTTTTATCATAAATGGGTGTTGGATCTTGTTGAATGCTTTCTCTGCATCTATTGAGATGATCATGTGGTTTTTGTTTCTCATTTTGTTAATGTAGTGTATCATGTTGATTGACTTGCGGATGTTGAGCCATCCCTGTGTCCCTGGTATAAATCCCACTTGATCATGGTGTATAATCTTTTTGATGTATTCCTGTATTCGGTTTGCCAGAATTTTGTTGAGGATTTTTGCATCTATGTTCATCAGTGATATCGGCCTGTAGTTCTCCTTCTTTGTGTTGTCCTTGTCAGGTTTGGGGATCAGAGTGATGTTGGCTTCATAGAATGTGTTAGGGAGTACTCCATCTTCCTCAATTTTCTGGAATAGTTTGAGAAGGATAGGTATTAAATCTTCTTTGAATGTTTGGTAGAATTCTCCAGAGAAGCCGTCTGGTCCTGGACTCTTATTTTGGGGGAGGTTTTTGATTACTGTTTCTATTTCTTTACTTGTGATTGGCCTATTCAGATTCTCCATTTCTTCCTGGTTCAGTTTGGGAAGGTTGTAAGAGTCTAGGAATTTGTCCATTTCTTCTAGGTTGTTCACTTTGTTGGCATATAGTTTTTCATAGTATTCTCTTATGATCCCTTGTATTTCTTTGGTATCTGTTGTGATTTCTCCTCTCTTGTTCCTAATTTTATTTATTTGAGATTTCTCTCTTCTTTTCTTGGTGAGTCTGGCTAAGGGTTTGTTGATTTTGTTAATTTTTTCGAAGAACCAACTCTTTGTTTCATTGATCCTTTCTACTGTCTTTTTTGTTTCAATATCGTTTGTTTCTGCTCTTATTTTTATTATTTCCCTCCTTCTACTGAGTCTGGGCTTTGTTTGTTCTTCTTTTTCTAATTCTGTTAGGTGTCGTTTGAGGTTGCTTATGTGAGCTTTTTCTTGTTTAGTGAGGTGAGACTGTATTGCAATGAATTTCCCTCTTAGGACTGCCTTTGCTGCATCCCAAATGATTTGGTATGATGTGTTCTCATTTTCATTTGTCTCCAGATAATATTTGATTTATTCTTTAATTTCTTCAGTAATCCATTGTTTGTTCAGTAGTGTGTTGCTTAGTCTCCACATTTTCCCACCTTTCTCTGCTTTATTCTTGTAGTTGATTTCTAGTTTCATAGCATTATGATCAGAAAAGATGCTTGATATTATTTCAACTCTCTTGTATTTATTGATGCTTGCTTTGTTTCCCAAAATATGGTCTATCCTTGAGAATGTTCCATGCGCACTTGAGAAGAATGTGCAACCTGCTGTTTTTGGATGAAGTGTTCTATATATATCTATTAAGTCCATCTGGTCTAACTTTTCATTTAATTCTATAATTTCCTTGTTGATTTTCTGTCTGGATGTTCTATCTGTTGGTGTTAATGGGGTGTTGAGGTCCCCTAATATTATTGTATTGTTGTTGATGTCTTCTTTTAGTTCTGTTAAGAG